TTTACACACCTAAAAACTTAAAAATCTACTCATACACATGCTGTTCTTTTTTGAAGGCAACCATCATCATCCTGTGGAAATAAATAGCATATGTTCCTTTTCTTTTAACCTTCATGCCTTCCTGTTTTTATATCTTGCTGATAATTACATGAATTGGTTTTCTTATCAGATATTCTGTAAAAAAATAGTTATAGCTCTAAACTTGAAAAGTATTAAAATGCATTGAGAATTATTATGTATAATTTCAAAAAAGAAAATACAATTTGTGATAATATGTGTAATATTGTCAAAATAAAAAAAATCTCATGTTTTATATACATTGATTTTCACAAAAGTGAAATTAATATTAATATGTGTCAAAGTTTGTATATGTTAAAACAGAAAATCCCAGGAACCTAGGTTTTATTTTTTTGCAAGGGCAATCACAAGACCATAAGTAATAAAATAGTCTATGTAAAGTTGACCGTGAAGATTAATCAAGATCATCAAAGTGCATAGCATATCATCTTATAGTCAAATATAGCAAGATATGAAATACAAAAATGCTTTTTTTACAAATGGTAGGGCGGATAAGATCTAATTCAACCTCTGAGGTCATTGGAGGTCAAATTAGTTGGTGACCTTTATAATCTGTATTACAGTTAAACAATTAAATTATTGGAGGTAGATTTTTATTTGTAGGTAGTTTTGGCAGAAAAAGATGAGGTGGTGCTAACCTGCAAGGTCATTAGAGGTCACCGGAGTTCAATTTCAGATCAAAATAACTTTTCTCTGTGCCAAATGAATGAACTAATTTAAAGGATTAAAAGATGTTATTTTCTGTGTTATTTGTAAAACATTTTCAGACAAAAATTCTAAACTTGTTTTTTTTCAGTTATTCAAAATGTAGAAATGGCCATTAACATATGAATGATTGATGGTTCAATGAGCTAGACCTTCTTGTTACAAAAATGATACAATCAAAGAAATAAACTCAAAACTGTTGCAACAGATTCTTGAGAAATTTCAACTGCATAAGTCAACCGTCACAGTTCCATGCACTTGGAAGGCTGCTGAGAACCCAATTGAGTTCTTCAGTTCACTTAGTGTTCCTCAGCATAAGCTTCAGCTAAAAGCTCAGAAGCTTATCATGTTTCTCAAAAAACCTTGTACCTGAAATATTGTGCAATGGAGCTGTCAAGCAACCTGTCCTATATGTCATTGAGGCAACTATTCAAACAAGGATAGGCTAAAAAGATGTATTCATTATTAAGAACTGTATAACTTCAACATACATTTTGAATTCAAATGACTTCAATTCACAATGAGGTTCAGCTTTACTATGATCATTTATAAGCTATAAGATCAATCTCCCATGATCACTGACCTTAACTTGAATTTTCTCATAGCCAGCTCTATGTTGGTTGTTCTTGCATTGGATCATCAGATAAGGTTTTCATATTGGCAACTGTTTGTACCTGAAAAGCCTGTCAATCTAAAGCACACTTTGTTTTTGTTTTGAGCATCAACATAGTTTTGTTTTGGGCAACAATATTTTTTCAGTAACAACTACTTTTTAAATAAATGTGTAAATAGTCTTACTTCATTTCTTATGTAAGAAGAAATATATTAAAAAACATACGCTTTTCTGTATTGTTATCTCCAGGCAATGCCAGGTACCTCTACTTTCAATAATTATGTCAGAATGCAAAAATCAGAAAAACTAAAATTAGTGTTAGTCTAATTAGTGTTTTAACATTTACCTTTGTTGTCTTTATGCCTAATTTCTTTTTTCTTTTCTTTTTTCTTCTTGCTATAAATGCCACCTGAGCACCTTGTCTTGTGCATTTTTTAATTTACTTTAAAATATATATTAATGCAAACTGGTTTAAGTGGAAAAATGCAATGTAACTTACTGGATAAAACATCAATAAAGTTAACATATTTTCAATCTTGAATGCTTGACATTAGAATTATTTATACCTTGGGGAAAGTATAGATTTTAAAATTCCTAAACATGCAGTCACACAGGTAAAATAAAATAAAATCTCATAAAAAGCAAGAATGAAATTCAACTACAAAATTATCTTGAAAAATGCAATGACCAGCAGAATTAAATATGACTGATTTTCTTTTTCTATTGCCCATGAAATAATAAAAAAAAAGAATGTGCCATGCGTGATACATGCTTAGGTGATCATGTATCTTTCAATACATGACTGATGAGACAGATTTTTTCCCGCAGTAGATTGCCATTTCTTTGTGGTAGACCATTTGCCATCCAAGGTCTGTCCTGCTATTTACCCATAGCAGTGGGGGGGGGGAGTATTCATACCTTTCCTAAGGGTATTAGCATGTAAGTGAATGTAATGGATTTGATTGGAATTTGAACTCAGCTCTCTGATTCCACAATCCGAACCACTATCCACTACTCTACCATGAAGTAAGCTTATTTCCAAAACCTTATACAAGTTTCTGTTTATAGTATATTTTATTTTATAACCTATTATTATGTCTCTCACATCAATTGAACTGAGTGTTCTTATGAACAATTTCAGTAATGTTCTTATCTCAGTATTACTGTTACTGACCAGATGTACAATGCAGAAATTTATCACTCTTTGTTAGTTCTCTTAATAAGCTCTATTTTTTTATTTATCAGAGAATGAATATCGTTTATGTAGCGTTGAAGAATGTATGTTAGAAATGCATTTTTTTTTTAATCATTTTACTCCAAGCAAGGGAATAAAGCCACTAAGATGAAAGGGGTTACTGAGTGTGAGAGGATATGAGAAAAAAACATTATTAAGGAAAGGGAATAATAAAAGAACAGGAATTAAGACAGAAGATAATGATTGACATTGCATTTAAACTTTTGAAGATCAAAGTTGACTGGGAACCAAGAAACCAGAAGTATTCCACAATTGAGAATGAGAGAAGAAACTATTAGCATAGAACTTAAGGTTACATCTAGACATTTCAGCTGTAATAATGATGAAACCTTGATGCTAATCTAGTACTACACTTAAGTTCATAAAGTCTAGATACCATAGAGGAAAGAACAATTACCATGAAAATATCAATAGAAAAGGCACAGAAGTTATGTTATGGCAGTGAGAAAGAGACTGAAGCTGAGATGCCAGGACAGGACCAGTAACATTGCAAAATAACATTTTATAACTTTTTAACTATTGAAACTTTTTTTTTTTCTCATGTATACCTAAAGAATGAGATGAGCATCCAAAGTTTATATTACCTGTAACCAGTCTCATGAACTACAACTCTTAGGTCATGTAATGAATTTTAGCATCTAGCACTTCTAACTGCTACTGGTATTGATATTGATATATTTGGGATTAATTCTCAAAAAAATATGAATAATTTTTATCATGTATACATTGATTAAAAATGGTTTGAGAATATTGTAAAATGGGATGGGGCAAAATCAATGATCATATGCATATTTCTTGGAATGACTATGATTCATTCTATAAAACAAAATGACAAGATATATGTTTTTGTTACCAGAAATTTCACAGGAACTGTTTATAGATAAAGTGAATGACATCAAGGCTTCAACAGCAGCAGTAAGCAATGAGCTTTCATGAATATAGTCAAGTGTGACAAGTAACAGCAGTGTTAGCAACAGACAGAGTAAGTTTAAGGATCCAAGTTCTAGCTTCAAGCCTAGTGGATTAAAGTGTCAGCTCATGAATTTGGTGACACAGTAATTGTTAAGTTCAATCATCTGATGAAAGACAGAGGGCATAATGGTTGATTGGGATAATAACTACAAAGATGATAACAATACTTCAAATGTAAATAACACCTTAATTCGTTTTTTTTTTTTTTATCTTACTGTTGTGTTTTTATCATAACATTCTAGGTTATTAAACTATGTTATTAACCATTAAAGAGTTTTTTAATGTCATATGTCGTCAAGATGAAGGCAGTCATAGATTGTCACAGCTTCAATTTCTTTAATGTCTGCAAATTGTCATAACTGTTCTTGGAAAAGATAGTGGAGTGATTTTCTATTGCTTTCTCTGATTTAGGATTCAGAATTGTCCACCTTCATATTGGTTATTCTACCTATTCTATTCTGCTATCTTACCTATAACTGGTGGGTGGAAAGATTAATTCATGCCTTTTCCAAAAGTATAAGTGCAAAGTAAACACAGTAGCTTTGGCCAGAATTTGAACTTGGATTGTGAATTCCATTCTCTGTGTCAATAACTGACACCACCTACCTATCCTATTAAAGTATGCAGTATAAAAAAAAACAATAAGATGAATGAAAACTAGTAACAAAATTAATTATGAAAAATATTTTATCTGTGAACTTCAGATATGTTAAGTTTATTACAACTTATTTTTTTGTTTTTACTGGTTGATTCCATAAATGTGTTATAAAAAAATTGGAAATTAATCTCTACATCTTATTTCTTAGTTTCCTGTAAAGAACATTGTGCCTCATTACAACAAATATTTTAAAAGAAAATGCAAAAAATAAGTGGTTGTGTAAAATGTATTTAAATAAAAGATCTAACATTGAATATTATTACTTTTGTAATTGCCTATATGATGAATGTGTTCAATTACACACTTAGACTAATTTTTTAAAAAATAAATTAATTCCCCTGTTTTATAACTGGTGTTGCTATTGGAAACAATGACATCACCATGAAACAATATTTAAACTAAAGTATGCACCACTTTTTTCTCTTGAATATCAACATACTGTAAGTAAAAAAAAATTACACTTAGAGATTAATTACTTCCAAGTTCTTTGTAACTATGTAAGAACATTTAGTTCTCTTTCTCTCATACACACACAACCTAAAAAATATTAAAATAAGGATTTAACAAAATGGTTCAACTTATGTTTTGTTCTTGACTGCTTTGAAAATATAAAAAGTTATGCAAATGAAAGGTAAAAGGTTACATTCTAACTTTCAAATAATACTTACATCACTTTTCTAGCAAGTATTAGATTTGAATGTGTATTTTTTTCTTTGTAGATGACCGTTCGGCCTTTTACATGCTCATGACCATGGTAGTGGCAAATCAGCACAAGTAAGTATTGCTCATCTGTGTATATTTGACTTAACTTATTATTTGAAACAAGTAAACAAGTCATAATGCTATGAAAACATTACTTCTCCAAAAATAAATTGACAGTTTTTCATTAGATATATATATATATATATATATATATATATGTGTGTGTGTGTGTGTGTGTGTGTGTGTGTGTATATTGCTATGTAATTTTATATATCAACAAACAGTATTTAGAAAAATAGTATGACAAATTGTAAAAAAAGTTTTTGTGATATGTTTCAGCCATTAGGATTTCATCTGACAAGGCTTTGTTGATGTTGCCACATCTACACATGCGCACAAAACGCTGGTAGTTTCAAAATATTTGAAAGAATATTTTTTTAATCTAGCTAAATTCACCTGTATTTTTTTTCTCTTTATCACCTTTTTCCCTGACTATCCCACATTGTGACAACAGAAAATCTACCAAGAATGGTGATATATTGTAAGAGTCTGCACCCAAATTTACCATATCTGAACTAGTGATCAAGGCACTTTCTAGACATTTTTGTTTCAGTGGATTATTTTCTCTTTTAATCAAAGTAGCATCCCACTTGTCAAAATTGTGGTCAGATTTTTTACGGTGAACAACTAATGCAGTTTGTGTGTTGTTTTTTTAAATGTCTATTTTGTGTTCATATAGTCTTTTGTTTAAACTTCTTGAGGTTTCTCCAATGTATTCTTTCTGGCAATTCCTACAGTTGATAGATTAAATTCCTCCTTTAAGTTTTGTCTTGTTGTTTTGTTTATTATTGATTAAGTTTTAAATGTAGTTGTGACAAATTTTATGTTGAGTTTAAGAAAATTGAAAACTTAATAAAAATATATATTGAAATTAGTGTCTAAGACTAGGAAAAAGAGGCAGAGAATAGTTCTTGTTGGAGAAAGTTAGAATTTGATGGTTGAAATTGTTTTGAGATCAAAAGGGTTGAATATTTAAAATTGAAAAGGGCTCTTAAAAAAAGGTGATGTAGACTCAATCCCAGAAGATATTAAGCCTGAGCTTGTATGTAACATCTGCCGGAAGGTTGTTCTATCTAGTGCCAGATTTGCTAGTCAGCAAAGATCAGATGTGAATGTATTTCCTGACATACCAACAGGGTACTTATGTCAGTTTTGTGATAAAATTTGCAGGTCTGAGACCAGGCTGAAGTGACACATGAAATTGTACAAGGATAAAGTCACTTTCAAGACTCTGCAAAAGACTTTTGTGTGTCACATATGTAAAAAGGTATTCAGGAATGAAGATGGTTTGGAAAGTCATCTGCAGTGCTCTGACCACTCAGCCCAACATTGAAGAGGTGGCCTTCTTCTGTAAATAAGTGGCAATAAATGCGTGTATAATATATATATATATATATATATATATATATATATATATATATATATATATATATTTTTCCTCATTGGTAGCACAATTCAGAGTTTCATGCAATTTTCTGGTGCTGATTGAAAACTGGCCATTGCATAATTTAAATATATATATATATATATATATATATATATATATATATATATATGCATGTTTCATTAAAAACAACAGACAAGATACTACGGTTGAGCTTTTTATTTAATTTTTCTTGTGTTCTGACAAGAGCTTTCTTTTCTGGACAAACAGTGTGTAAGAACTGCCCGAATGTTCTGTATTTCTGAGCGCTTTCGGCTATATCTTTAGCCATTATCAAGGATGATTCGATTATCAGCTTAGTAGAGTGTGTGTGTTCTGTGTATGTTCAGTGTGTGGTAGTGATGTTTTTAGTTTCCGAATACGGTTAGCACATTGTGGCTTTGTTCATAGTTAATATTGTTAAGAGTTGGCTTTTTTTCTTTTTATTATTAGAGCTTCCATTATTTTTAGTCTTTTTTTGCAAGTGGATGCAGTTAATATATTTGTGTTTTCTACTAGTATGTTCCTAATAGTGTCAGGTAAATCTGAGTGTGTGTTTAAATGTGTTCTGATGGAACTGTGATCAGATAGGTGTAATGTAAGACGTCTGGATAAACATGTGGTTGTGTAGCCGATGTAATTATTTATGAGTCCGGTTTGGGGAGGAACGCAGTTCCTTAAAGGGCATTTGAACTCATAGATAATGTTCATTCTTTGTAATTTTGACTTAGTTGGTGTGTTGTTATTTTTGAGGATAAGGTTGGCCGTCTTAAATTTTTTATAATAGATAATAAGTTTGATTTTTTTTATTCAGATCAATAGGAGTAGTATATTTCTTTATAATATGTCTTAGAGAAGATTCATCTTGTTTGTAATTAATATGCATTTGGTTTTTGTAATAAATGTGTATGTGATTTTTAACACACTGTACTATAATGATAATGGAGCAGCCCATTTTATTTAAGTGACTAAAGATATAAAATAAATAAGTAAATAAACAAACAAAATAATAAATAAAAATGAAAACAAAATAATAATATCAAAATAATATATACACATACACACACACTTAAATACCCCAACTAGAGGAATACAATTATATTTCAAATGCAAATACATATACATCTGTTGTGATGAGATAACCCAACTTCCCCATTCACAATAATGGACGGACTGGTTGCCGATTAAGTATGATCACCACGGACAGTGAGAGAAAAAAGGTCTTCGTTTGCTAACACCTATTGAGGTTAGCATACTCCCGACTCTGGTCTCTGTATTTGACAAACCTACATCCGATTATAAAATTATTATTGAAAACCACACTCGGGTTTACTTTGTTTATTATATCTTGCACGAGATATAACAACATCTAATAAGTAATTTTAATATAATACAAATATACGCACAAATAATACAAATAGATATATACATCCACATTTACATAGAAATATAAAGATATACAAACAAAAATATATTTATATCTATTTGCATATCAACATGCTCACTATAATATACAAAAATATAAATACATGCACACATATAAATAAACATTCAAACACAACTATATATATATATATATATATATATATATACCTCCACACACACACACATATATACATGCTAGAACACATACTTAAAAACATATCCATATATATATATATATATATATGCATGTGAATATATAAATTCAATATATCCAAAGTATATATCTAAACTGTAAATATAAAGAATAAACATAACCTCACATATATATATGTATACACACACCTATGTAATTATAAAGACTTATATATAAATATACACATCCATCCCATATAAAAGAAATGAAAAAATGTACAAAATACATATTACTATCTATTCAATATATATATATATATATATATATATATAGATATTCATATCATTTAGATATATAAACATCCTATAGCCTTAGTTGTCAACCAGTATACAACCAGTATAAGAGAAAGAAAATTTTGAATTCAAACCAGTCTGGTAAGGCTTGGTCTCTGTCAGGCTATCTTGCACAAGAAACACTACTACTATGGCTGCATTATATGTAATTCCCCTATGAACATAATGGTTTAGAGGGACTCATCGTGAAACATATGCACATATATGGAAAGAATACCACTGATATATATTCATAGATTTTCAATATTATATTAAAAATGTATAATGTATGTATGCATATATACCTTATGTTATCTGAAAAATGTTTAATTATATGAAAAAGAAAAGCTAGGGATACCTATATATTTATATTCCACTAAGGGTTGCTTCATTTCACAGATATGTAAACATTTTATTTTACAATGTATTATTGTAATGCTCTTTGGTAAAAGATTATCTGGCTTACTGAAACACAGGTTCCTGTATGATCAATGAAGTTAAACAATGTTGAGCCTGGTCAGTACCTAGATGGGTGACTGCTTGGGAATACCAGGTGCTGTAAGCATAGATGTGTAGGTGGTACAATGGATAATGGCTGGAATTGTTAATCATAATACCACATTCTAATTTCTGTTGGGTTTGTTATATTCATTTATGCACAAATACCATTAGGAAAGGTATGAATCCACCTGTTGTCCCCCAAGCTATGTGTTAATTAGTAAGACTTGTATCACCAAATTATTATTTCAAAAAAAAATTCATATCTAAAAATATTTTCTGACTTTAAATAACCGGCAAAGTGTTGATAAGCTATAAAAAAAACATTAATCAATCAAAAGATTATCTGAAGAAAAAACTTGCTTAAACTTTCTATTCATCAATATATATATTTATATATATATATTGCAAGATTTATTTGCATTCACTTCTCTGTAATATAATTTCATATATTTTTGTCTCTTGTAGGTCTGTCACCGACTTGTTGCAGAATTCCAAGTTTGATGTCAACTACACATGTGGCCGTACCCAGCGGAACCTCCTTCATATTGCAGCAAAGTAGGTGCAATCCTTCTGCTATCACTACACTTAAAGTAGAACTCATAAAATGGCCAATAAACTTAATACACTGTTAATTAACTGTTAATATTGTAAATGCAATGCCAATAGTCAATACTCTAATCAGCCATGTGGCCAGTGGGTAGTTGAAAATCATTTAAGCAATGTTAACAGTAGCCTTCGGTAAAATTACCATGACAGCATTTATAAATTAAAACTTTTCATTTTGAAAAAGCCTCATAAAAGACTGAGAAATTCATTTATAATTTTCATTAAAAATTTGGCTATGTTATTTTCATCCTTAACCAGTTCAGTATTCATGCAAAGATTGAATTGTCCAATTTTTAGATTTTAGCCATCTTTGGAATTAAAATATTAAACTGACAAATCTCTATTCTGCTCAAGTGTAGAATATTCAGATGTTTGTGTTTTGAATAATACAAAGAACCTAAGTAAAAATGATTTATATCCTCTGCAGTTTAATTATGCCTTGTTTCACAGAATTAACTCAATTACAGAAAAGCATTCTGTCTAGATTATGATTTTTTTTTACTTCTGAATATAGAGTAAAAATGGTGTCCTAATACAATATTTTGACACAATGGATCACTGAGCAATTGGTTAAGAACATCCAATATTCAAGTGAGCTGTAAATGATTTTATCTGAGCCTGAAGCAACTGGTATTTTATGACAACCAACAATAAAATCTAGGTGTGAGATCTCCAAAGCAACCACCTACTGTTCACAACTGGAGAAAAAAAGAAATAAAAACTTTCAGGATCAAGTGCCACTTAGCTGGAAGATGAAGAGATCTGGTCAGGATACATTCTTGCTTGGATAATGACAAGCTTATGATATAGAGATGGGCAAAGGAGTAGTAGAAGAGAGTGGCCAGAGATGTGGGTAGTTAAAATGACAGAAAAGAGACATGTAGAGTCAGACACAGAAGGAGTTCTTGCTGGCCAAAGATCTGGTCCATTAGTAGGTCATGATAGAAGTATCAGCAAGGATATCCCAAGTGTCCCAATGCTGACATTACCCATAACCATATCAAGTGATTCCCTAGATAAAGAACACAGTATTTATTTTTAATCTGGCATTTTTTTAGTGCTTACCTGTATTTGAAATAGATGAACCTTTTTTTATTTTAAACAATGTGAATTACATATATCAGCCTGCATACTCAAAAAATCTTAAAAGGTAATGTGCTCTCCTACAGGGTTTGAATATGTGTCCCCCTTTGTAGGAGAAACCATCCTTTGACTCGACATGTTTGAGAGAGAACAGCCCAGCAACATTCTATTTCCCTTTTTAAGGAAAGCACATTTCCTTGTTCAGATTTTTCTTTAAAGCCTATAACTGTTTAATTTTATATCTGAAACCTAAACAAAGCTATTTATTAATGTATTTATTTTTAAAATGACAATCTGATGTCTTCGGTGACTTTATGTAGCTGTGGACAAGCCCACCTTAAAGTCATAGACAACCCCATATGAGCTGCTTTCCAGGCATGTGACACACTAATTGTTTATCAGTGATCACTTCTTTCAACACGACGTAAAAAAATCACGACGACTTTTTTGGTTACCTTATATATATCCACTGGCATGAAATAAAGTGTGTACATATATATATATATATATATATATATATACTTTATGCTATGTTATAGTGCCCATGTTTTGGATTTTCTATTAGTCACTGAGAGGTGCAACTGAAGGAATACTAACTGTGACAGGAATATCAGCAAAAACAGTGGCTAAAATCAAAATGAAGCTTCCAATGAGGATAAAGACTATAATAACCCAAACAAATAAATAAATAAGTAAACAAACAAGCCACTCCTGCAAAAATAACCACCAGAATAGATTACCCACAATGCACCACTGATCCATATATATAAATAGTCGTGGAAAAATCCAACATTTGCAGCCTGACGATTGTGTCTGGCATGAAACAGCCTGTTGCCTCTGAGTGTTGACTTCAATGTTCACTTTTATATATATATATATATATATATATATATATATATATATATATATATATATATATATATATATATATATACAACACACACAACTTCCTGCATGTTGTAATTTGTATCAAAATAAAGCAAACAAGTTCAACTCAAGCACTGACTCACAAATGATGAAAGAACAAACAAAATGATGAAGGGAGGGCTGACCCTATTACTACCATCATGACAGCAACTACAGCATTCAAGACACTACAACTGTAGAAAAGTGAAAATCAAATGCATTATCACTTATTTTAACAAACTCAGTATATATCCTTTTTTAATTCAACTTTATTACAGTACACTTTTCTTTTAATTATCTCTACTGTTGGTATTAGCCTTCCATTGAAAATTATGTAGAATATGAAAAGGTTTACACTGAACTGCATTCAACTGCAAAAGACTTTTCTGAATTAAACCAAATAGTTCTTGGAAAAATCTTTATGAATAATAATTCCTTTATTAAATGAATTTGCTTTTTTGGAACCATTCAATTTTTTTTAACCATATCACTGCCAAAATGTAAAATTGATTCCACCTTGTAAGTAAGAGGAATTTTTTCCTGCAGTCATGTTTGAATTTGGGCAAACATTTCTATGATATATATGAAACATTTTAGTAACTTACATTCATTTTTCATTTAGAAAAGACACATTCACTGTCCTGCCTTTATCGTCCAATGAAAATACTGATTTAAAAAAGTATTACATGAATTAATATTCTTATCTACATCACACTGCAGTAAATGTTTTTAATGTAACATATTATTTCTGGGTAAAAAAATGAAAATTTCAGTGTGTCGCACTTTTTCAACTTTACTCCTAGAGGCTGTAGCCCAACATATACCATTTTTGAATCAGGCCAAATTTGTGAGCAAATTATACACTTTCTGGGACAGATCCAGACCTGTAATTCTAAAATTTTGGATTCTCAAGTTTTCATTACGGCAATTGTTTTTGGCGAATTTTATTTTATAATTTAGAAATAAATTTGGGAATAATTAAGATTAATTGTGAAATCCAGTAACAGTCACTCATGAAATAAAAATAATTATTTGTATGGAAAATAAGGACTTGTGTCTGGCAATACAAACAGATGACATTGGAACTACAACATGTGGCTGACAATACTAATGGGTGATATTGCAACTGTGACATGTGGTTGGCAATATGAACAGGCAACATTAGAACTAAGACTTATGGCTGGCAATATAAACGAATGACATCAGAACTAGGACTTGTGGCTGGCAATACAAACAGGTGACAATGGAACTAGGAATTGTTGCTGGCAATACAAATGGATGATATTAGAACTAGGAATTATGGCTGGCAATACAAATAAGTGACAATGCAACTGTGACATGTGGCTGGCAATATGAATAGGCAACATTGGAACTAAGACTTGTGGCTGGCAATACAAACAGATGACATTGGAACTAGGACTTATGGTTGGCAATACAAAAGGGCAACAATGGAACTCAAACTTGTTACTGGCAATAAAAACAAGCGACAATGGAACTACAACATGTGGCTGGCAATAAAAACAAGCGACAATGGAACTACAACATGTGGCTGGCAATAAAAACAAGCGACAATGGAACTACAACTTGTGGCTGGCAATAATAACAGGTGACACTGGAGCTATGCGAGAAAAAAGTGTTCTTTATCAAGAGCAGACCAGAACCAAATCCCTCAATCCCAATCGTACCTGTTTAGATATGCTCTGTGTCCAGTTTTGTTGTCACATTGTCTGAAAAGCCCTATCCACTCATTTACTCTTTCATTTCCATTCACTCAAAAAAGTCATCCTCTGGCTATAAAACAGACACACTTGAGATGGGATAAAATCACACTATCCTCTTCCATGTGGATGTCCAACCATATTGCAACTCAAACTTTTAAGATTTCATCATTTGAATAAAATCATTTTCTTAAGGTTTTCCAAACATTTTCAGACAGATTTTGCTGCATTGTTTGCAAAATAATTTAAAAAAAAAATCTGTCTTCTGTATTTTCACAGTTGAGCATAAAGGAAATAATGCTTTTTCTTTCAACAGTGAATGCTTGCACCAGGACCATGTATTTAAAGTCATTCACTAAACTGACATTTTCACTCATGAATATTAAATATTTACAAACTATTAAACTATGTATTGGGTCCACCAAGCATTTTTATCTCTTGTAATTGCATCTATTCCTTAATGGCATATTCAGTCTTGTTTATGTATAATGTAAACAAAAATTTTGTTACACACACACATATTGGTCTAAACATATAATATTTGAAGCTTCAATGATGAACCTTTTTTTCTTACATTCTATTCAGCTTCTGTTTATATTGGAATTAATTTTAAATACTCATAATTCTTAAATTCTCTTCAGCTGTGGGAGCTATGAGTGCCTGAGCTTACTTGTAAAGAAAGGAGCTGCTGTTAATGCTCAAGATGTCTCTGGATGCACTCCTCTACACCTAGCTGCACGCAATGGGTAAGTCCTTATTCTATGCATGTTTTCCATGAGGAGAATTGAGGACCACCTTGAAGTTTCATGATTTTCAAATTAATAAATTGACAAGAAAATTACACAACTTTTTCTCTGTTTTAATTTCCAAACTGTTACTGCTTGTCTAAATTCCTTAGTAATTGAACTAAATGTAAATGAGATTACCTTAATTGATAGACACCGTTCAATGAATTATAGACATTGTATAGAAATACGTCAGTTCAAGAAGAGTTCATATTAGACATTTGTTGGACTGCTAAGGTTAAACTGTCTTTCTTTGGTTAAAATAACCTTTTAGATCATCATTAATTTTTGGCTAATTTTATTTGTGTCTATTATATCTTTAAATGATTAAATAAACATAAAAGATTTAATAACAAGTTATTATCAGAAATTAGGTTGACTATCTGTTATTTTTAACAGTATAGTACCAATATTTTTCCTTACTAAATATTAAAGTTTAATATTTGTTGCTATTCTCTTAATGAACAGAGAAACATGCTCATTTTAACCTGAGGCATGATTTAGCTTATATTACCTATCATGATGAATGGTTCCTATGTCAAGGAGGTACTTTACCTTGAGCACCTATTGGGACTCTGTTTCAACATTGCTAAAGATACTGCAAAAACGGTTAGCTTCTTATACTACTGCAAAAAAAAAGTACCTTACTCCTCCTACTATGCCCTATCTTTACAAGAGCCAAATCAGACCAAAAATGGGGTGCTGCTGCCATATTTGGGCTGGTGCTGTCCAGTCCTCACTTTCCAGCCTTGAGTTCAGATGAATCAAATGAGAAAGGAAAAGAAGAGAGATCACCAATCACTGTCAAATTATCAAAATAATAGAAAACAACACTAGAAAATAAACCAGTTGAAAGTATCAGTGTATATAATAAGATTTAATAACCGCCTCACTAGACCTAGCACAGAAATGAACACCATATGGGAGCCTTTAAAAAAGAACATTAAGCCTAAAACTCAAAAATTCCACTACATGTCAGTGTAATGTTATATATTCTCATTCAAGTGAAGTGATGTTTCCACTACCAAATTGCCCTACAGTATAGATATAAAAGCACTGATTAAGCAGATTAAGTTATTGAGTAGCCATGAGTTCAATTGCTAGTACAGTGGAAGAGATAAACAATATCACAATAAGAAATTAACTAGAAAGAAAAAATTGATGAACAGTGTGGAAAGAGAACAATCTTAATCCTGTAGATTGAATAAAGGGTTTGCTTTAAAATTCTTGGAAGCTTACCAACTACCACAGACACTTGAAAAAGTTGGCGGATGCAACAGCCAAAATGTGACAATAGCAACCAAGTTGGAGGCACAAATCCAAACAAATCAGTTTAAAATTCTGACAAAAAATCTTTCAGTTTGAATTTTATATTTTTAATAAAACAAGTGTTTCATTATGAAGAAATGAAAAATAATTTCATAGTTTCTGAACTTTAAACAAGTTTTTTGAATTGAGAGTCAGAAATTAGTATATTTTAATATTTGTTTTTCATTTAATCACAAACAATAACCATTATAACATCATGTTCAGTCTTTAATGTATGTAACTTAGGCAGTAAATGTATGTTAAACATGTGAAAATATAAAAATGTGTTTGGATTTCTCTTTCCAAAAAGTTTTATGTTTTAATAGTTAAGTAAATACTCTCACAATTATTGTTACATTTTTAGCCCAAATTTTGGAATCACAATAAAATCATAAAAATAAAACTCAATTCTTCATTCTTGAATTTTTAGACTTGTTAAATAAATGCTTTTATTTTTATATCCATTTTTTTTTACCCCTTACTTAGTGATTCACTTTTATATACACTTAATATTTTTTATTTTCACCCACCACAAAAAACTTTTATGATATTGTTTTTTTTTAACTCAGCCTCTCTTTTTCTTGTATATGTTTTCCAGAAAAAGAAAATGTCTGAACAAACTTCTTGAGTACAAAGCAGATGTTAACATCAGAAACAATGAGGGACTAACCACAGTAAGTTGGTTTTTCTTTATAATATCTTATGGCTTTTTCAAATTTTTTTTTTTTTAATATAATAAAACAAAATTTGATTTTATCTGTAATTTCCTAGAGACATCATTTACATTTTTGATTAATAAAAGATACCAATTGTACACTATAACTGATTATATTATGCAAGTCATTGTTTTCACAATAATGTTAGTATTAACCAACCAATATTGGTAAAGTTTTCAGGAAATATTTATATAAGCTGTATACTGTATGAGTTTCAGTTTATAATATCTATCCTTATTAAATGTATTGACAACTTGTTTTGTGGGTGTCATGTTTTATTATGGAAACAACATAAGTGCAACATGAATTTATTATAAATAAATCCTAAAGTTATAGGCCACAGAAACATTTGATTAACTCAACATCCTATAGGCCTGAATAAGTTATCATTTTGCATTGTATTATAGGCTTGGTGATGTTTTCTAACCTTCATTTTGCTAACTTTTCTACTGTTTCAACTTTAACATTATTTGCATCAGTGTTTATTGATTTAATATTGTTTTCCAATTTTATATACATCTCTTTTAATGATGGCTCACAAGTTTTCTTTTGGATTAGCATCAGGAGAGGATGTAGGCAATTCTGTTAATTTGATGTTTTTGAAACCTTTTTTTTGCAAGGTGTACAATAGTCGGCTTTACAGAATGGGAAAAACCTCTACATTGACTTTTGCTTAAAGTTTAGCTTTATCAATCAGAAACATCTTGATTCAAGAATTTTAATAATTCCCATCATTTATCTTGATAGCATCAACTTTAAATGGTTGTATAATTTTACTTCCTACATTACTAACCCATTATTCCACCTCATCACTGTTTCATGTTTAGATTGTGTTGCTTGGCTATTTCCATGAAAGACCAATCTCCTTGCTCAGCTATCATGTACATCCAATGTAGCTCTTCATTAATCACTAAAAATTTCTGTTGGAAAATTAGTTTTTGTGTCTTTCTTTGTCCAATTTACATATTTCTCTTTGTAATATTTACTTAAAAGATTATAGTTTCATTGCTTTCATGAGTTTAGCTAATGTTCTTAATATTCTGAAGTCATTTGTCGCTAATTACTTTTGAAACAACAGCTTCAAATATCTTTTCTAGCTTATTATTCTTTTAATCTTTCTCAAGTCACTTTTTGTGAATAAAGTGAATGCTTAAAATGTTTAACCTGAATATGATATACATTTTTTGTCTTTAACAATATTGTTTCTCAGTCTTCATTTATATTTTTTACTTAAATATAGTAATATTAATTATAATACTGTTTTAATTATAATGCTATTAGCAGTAATAATGAACACAAGTACGCATCAAGTGCTCCAGCCCAGCTGCAATCTTCAGCTGAGCACCGTGCTTCATCAAAGTTTTGGCCCAGCTCAGTACCTCTCCACACGGTTTTAATTATAATGCTATTAGCAGTAATAATAATTATGTTATTGATATTTTCTATGTATCCTGAATTCTATAAACTCAAAAAAAGATTAATAAGTATAGTGAGAAATATTATCCTTAATTTTAGATACTTGATCTTAAGTTCAAATATGTATCAGTCATTTTCATATTGTACATTCAGTCCAAACTAAGCAAAACTATATTTTATACTTTCCCTGTTTTGTCCTAGAATATGTCCAAGGCTTTTCTTTGCATGGTTCATGTTTATATTAAATATAACTATGTATTGGGAAATACAAATGCAACTGCAGTAAGAATTCTCTCTCTTCCTTGTTTTTTTTTTTTTACATTTCATCTATTGTATATCTGATTATGTTCATTTTTACCAAATTCTTAAAACTCATTGCTGCTAAACATATTTGCCTAAGAATATAATCTTAATCTTTACTAACTTTATTTATCCATTTTGTGTGTCTCTATCTTTCCAGATCCATTGGTTAGCTGTAAATGGGAGGACAGAGCTTTTACATGATCTGCTGCTGCATGTTAATGATGTTGATATTGAGGTAAGAAATTCACAGGAGAAAATTTTTGTTTCAGAAAATAATTACTTCACTGAACAATAATCGATCCAGTTGAGAGAAAAATCATTCAATCTATTGCCATAAAAAAAATGTCTTATGTGAAACTAAATGTCTCCAGTCAGTTTTGTGCGTAGCTTTTGGACAGTCTCTGTTAATCTTGGTCCATAAATGTTTTAAAGATTCTAATTAAAATTTGCCATTAAAAGGAACCTGTCTAAAGATATTAGATATGATTCAAATGAAAACTCTTATAAATAAACATGTAAATAGTTTTTCTTATTGTAATTGAAAGGCCATAGTGTGAAAAAAAAATGAAATTATCATTTAAGTCCTTTCTAAAGTAAATTTTCTGATCTACTTAAAGGAAACAGATTGCATATGGTCATTTAAAAGTTACACTACCCTCACAATAAAAATTAATCTTAATTGATTTTTACTTTGAAGCAGTTTCATATAATTGAATTATAAAAAATGTATTTTGTATCTTAAATATATTTTTGCAAGTTAAAATCTTATTCCAAACCATTTATTAAGCAAAAAGAAAAGCTGATTCACAGATTTATACATCCTAAAGACCTCAATGAATTATAGACATGTTTGTTTGCAGGATAGCCAAGGACAAACTGCCATCCATGTTGCTTGCCAAAATGGACACAAATCTGTAAGTAGAAAATGTTTTTTTACTGTGCTAACAAAATTTGAATAAATTTACATTTATATCTTATATATTTATGCTTTAGCAAAAATAACCAGTTATTGATTTTTTTGACAATGTATATAGAAGTTGGTACCAAGCCAAAAATTAGGTTATTTAAAGCTGATAATATTTACAAATATATTTCAAATAATTTTATTGACTTACTACTAAATATCTTTCAGCATTTCAATTTGCTGATTTAAGAAGCTATAATTGGCTCTTTCAGGTTTCTGGTAAAAAGATGGATGTAACTGAATATTGTGAAAATCTATCCCTTAAAATTGGTAACTTAAAAGTTAATTGATTTATATGAGAATTAATTGAGGAGTTTCATAGCTTTTTATGAATATCTTTAAAGAGATTATGCATACTTAGTATTCAAATTTAATATCAGTAACTACAAAGTAAAATTCAATTAATATTTATTAAATTTAAGAAAATAATTGCAGACACTATAAAAGATATAGAGAAAATGAATTATTTACATGTGGATTGTTGTCTTCATCTTTGTTTTATTATCACAATGTTTTGTCCATTGTACCCACAGGTAAGGCAGTAAGGTTACCTGGATAAGTTGTATTCATATGTAAATGATGTAAATAATGATAATTCCTTATCTCAGAAATTCAAACAAAAATTAGATAAAAAGAAAAGTGAAACTTTTTTATTTCTATTATTTTAAAAATCAGTGTAATTTCTTTGGGTCACTGGATCTAACCAATGCCTTTATCCACTCAAGGACACATGGCACAGTGGATAAAGGCGTTGGTTAGACAGAACCCAAAGAGTGTGAGTTCAATACCCAGTTAAGGCAGTGGAGAACTTTCAGAGGGAAATTAACAGGAGATAACTGATAACTGACATCCATCAAACATGGCACGTGGAACTAGAACAGTCTACTCCAGTGAGTGAAATAAAGGGTTCAGTTCGACATTCCAACCCCTGAAGAAGGCTGGAGCGTGCATTGGCCGAAACATTGTGATAAATATGGCGACAAAGATGAGGACAATAGTCCGAATAATGTAAATAGTGTACATAATACCTCATCTCAGAAATATAGACAGACGGTGTAATTTCTGTTCTAATAGCGTATGACATATATTGATCAGCTTCTAAATTTAAAACACAATTTAAGTAATAAAGAAACACCATGATGAAAAAGATGTAGTTAATTTTTTTTAGATTTATAATTTTTTGTGAACAGTCATTGACACTTTTGTGATATCAATGTATATTCGTTGTTACTTTCGTAATGCTCATTGTAGTAGAGACTTTATAATTGCAGATACCACTATAGTACGCCACTGAACAATACTGGTGTCAGACGCCTTCGAATATCACTCACACTAATAGTACTTGCTCAATAATACTCGCTTGAATAGTGATCTGATTAGAGAAATAGTATAGTGAATAGAGTAGAGAATAGCGGTCTATATAGTAATAGAGGACAGAATAGAAATGATATTCCGTATAGTGATAGAGTAGAAATAATGATCAATCTAGACTTCACGTGACTTCCTATATATGCGTTTCCGCTATGGTTACATGATTTACTTTAATTCAATAATGGAATAGCCTGTGTTTGTTCACTAGTGATCTATGTTCAAACTCAAGTGTCAGCAGCAACACTTTACTCCTATATAACATAAATTAAAAAATTATTTGTTTATTTAATTCCTTACCTGGGAAACCTTGTTTTGTGGGGATATAAAACATATACCTCATTTAAAGTATATGAAACATATGACAACATAAGTATATGAAAAGTTCAAACAAAACACAAAAGTCTTTGTATAAAAACACTTGGTACCAAAAACAATACAAATTTTGTGCTTATGTGGTTGGTTGTCACAAGCCTGAAATTGGTAGATCTTGTTACCGTAACTTCATAGAGCAGAAAGAGGAAGATTGACTTGCCTGCTTAACAATGTCTTATATGGGTCTTGTCAGGTCATGTGACTGTTTTCTTTATTCTCATGAATATTTATAATCTCTCTGACTTAGCAGGGTTTAGACTGTGGAATGCACTCTACAAAGGCTTATGGTCAATTGATAAAATGTTTTTCTTCAATAATATGTTTTAAATATAACGTAGCTGAATATGTTCCTTATCACAAGTTGAATACCTTGTTTGAATTAACTTTTTAAAGAAGAAGCCTATTGGAATTGGTGCTCCTTCTACTATTTGATGTAGGGCTGCACTAATTGCATAATTACTGCTGCCAGTAATCAACTGATATTCAGTAGAGTCAAACCATTGGTAAGCTAGAGACGGAAATTCACTGATTCTACTTTTAATATCGTTAAATGATTGCAATTCCAAGTCATTTAATGTAAACGTAGTATTATTGTATATATATATTTTTTCTATTAATGGCCTGACTATGTCTGCAAAGTTTGGATTTAATTTTCTATAAAAATTTACCATGCCTAAGAAATGATGAAGATTCTTACTTAGGAGGTGGGGGGTGAAATTTTGTAATTATTATGTTTAGGTCTAATACTGTCAGAGCTAATGTTGACTTTGTTATTGATATTTTTAGATTATTATTATGTAGGATTTTTATAACAGTTTCAAAATCTTTTGTGTGCTGAAGAATCATCACTGAAAATAGGAATATTGTCAATGTATATAAATACACAGTCAACATGTGGAAAGGTCTTGTCTGTGTATCTTTGAAAAATGGATACTGAATTCTTTAGTCTAAACAGCATGTATTTCTATTCATTCAATCTGAAAGAAGAAATAAATGCAGATTTTTCATATCATCTGAGCACATTTTGATTTGATGGTTTGCTGATACCAGCTCAATTTTGCTAAATCATGTTTTGCTGGCTAGTTTATCAGCAATTAAATTAATGTCCAGAATGGGGTATTTATCACATTTTGTAATACTGTTTAATGCGAGGTAATCATTGCAGCATCTGAAATTGCCATCTGGCTTTTTTACAACATGTAGAGGGGGGATGGCTCATTCACTATCAGAAGCTGTAATGACACCATTGTTTTGTAATTTCAAAAATTCCTATCATTACTATATGGGTTTTCTCCTCTCATCACTGCCTGTATCAATTCTATGGTATACTCCTGCATATGTGCTTGCTGAGTTGGTATGTGGGGATATGATGTTGGGATATATTTTTATAGCCTTTTTTTTTTAGCCTTTAATGAAATTGGGCATATTATTATTCATGACTGGGTTGATAGTTACAGAATGTTTATAGTTTCTTTGAAAATGATGTTGTGGAATCAATGATCATTCTCTGTTGGCAATCTCTTAATAAACTGAAATTGTTTAGGCAGTCAAATCCTAGTAGAGGGTGCTGAATGTCCACTAATACAAACGTTCACAGAAAAGATTGTCGAAGGGTCAGTAGACTTATCACAGCTTTCATTTGCCTGTAGCAGCATATGTCTGAGCCTGTAGCTGTGGTTAGAGAAACTGGTGTTGGTTGCATTGATGAACTGTTGATGTAACCATGTGAAATGATAGATAAGCTGGCACTGGTATCTATTATGAATGAAAACATTTCTGTCCTCAACATTACTGGTATCTCTAATAATGGCAGACTCGGTTGGGGGATGTTGTTGTCCATCCAATTAGTTTTCTGCTGTGTTTGGTGTTGGTGAAGATGGATGCAAACTTGGCTGTTGTATCAAGTCTCTTTTTTTTGTTTGGTCATTTGCACCATGGTTTACATGAACATGCCACATTCACATAAATGTATGCTCTACATATTTTTTTGTAATTATCCCTTTTGGAAAAGTTTGAGACTGTAGGTTATTGCTGAGGTTTTAGTCAGCACTTCTTTTGTCTGAATTTGGTTACACATGCTTATTTTAGCAGTGCCTTGTATTAAAGACATTAATTCATCTGCCTATTGTCACAGTCTGGTTAGGTTTAAATCTTTTTGTGTTGATAACACAAGGGTGATGGAAGATGGTAATGCTTGTAAAAAATTGTGTAACACTATATCCAATTTTTTTGCAATCAACGTCATTTCCTGAAGATAAATTAATGGTCGACCTGTAATAATGAAGGTGGACATTAATTCCTCTAGCAGTTCTGGTTTTGTTTGTTCATGTGTTTCAATTAAAGTCTTTTTTAACTCATCATAGTTGTGAGTATCCAAAATGTTGCTAAGTATTTTCGTCACTCTTTCTGGAGGTAGAGATGCAGTAACATTATAAAATTTGGTGATTTATGAAGTTATGTTTCTCAGATAGAATTGAGATTCAATAATTGTGAACCATCAGATAATGTTAGTTTGCATGAATTCAGGTGTTTTAATTGTTATTTGTTGGACAATTGGCTTCGTTTTTTTTTTTTTTTTTTTTTTTGTTATGTGTGTAATATATATTGGAATTCACCAAATATGTGGTTATCAAATTCCGTTTTTCATAGGAGTCACCAAATATGTGGTTAATAAATTGTGTATTTTTTGGGTTTTTTTTATTGTGATCACCAAACATGTTATGTGGGGATATGAAACATAGACCTCATTTAAACTATATGAAATATACACCAGCATAAATATATGAAAAGTTCAAACAAAACACAAAAGTCTTTGGATAAAAAAACTTGTGTGTGTTTGTGTATATATATATATATATATATATATATATATATATATATATACTCTTGACTCTCCCGTTGAATTCAACGTATGAGGGTCAAGCAGATCAGTTCCTAGGAAACCGAAAGCCTGACAACAGCACATGAGATTTGATTATAGTGGTGAAGGTTTTGTGCAGGACCATCCACATTTTTTTTTAAGGGTCGAATACAGAGACCTGGTGCACTACGTGCCTAAGATCCCCAAATGACAATATATATATATATATATATATATATATATATATTATTCTTAATTGTGGCGGACATGAGACAGAACCTGGGATGAGCACAACTGGTCACGACTTGCCTTGTCCCCGCCAAAAAAGAGCCAGTATTTGCTTAGCATGTAAAGCTACTGCAGTTGAAATGAGGGAAAAAAAAGCACTTACCACTCTGCCGTAATCCGTCCTCGGCCAGATAATGTAAAAGAATGAGTGGGGACTTGCATTGCATTTTTATGCAGTAAAGATGCAATGCATTATGGGACATGGACGCAATGAACTATGGGATCACATGAAGACGCAAGGGATTATGGGTATATGGACAAATATAAAAGCAACTACTTTTTTTCCCAGTGGGGCAGTTCTTCGAGTGACGTTCACAGTTGGCGGCAAGAACAGTCTGTTAGTGTGATTTTGAGACAGAACTCAAGAAGGAACGACTCAAGGTTGAAATACCAGCTGGGAGAGCTTGAATTTACTTGCTGGTTGCTGTTTTCTTTATTTGCCTCAAGTTTTGCATATATCTACTTGCAAAATAGACTAGGTACTAAAAACAATATAAATTTTTTATTTATCTGGTTGGTTGTCATAAGCCTGAAATTGGTACGTCTTATTACTGTAACTTCACGGAGCAGAAATAGGAAGATTGACTTTCCCGCCTAATGAGGTTTCATGCAGGTCTCATCAGGTCATGTGACTGTTTTTTATTCCAGTGAATATTTATAATTAATTTTTATTATTTTTGTTTTGGGTCAAAAGGAGATAACTTTTTGCCTCTCGCTACAACCTACTTGTAACACTGAAGGATTCAAAAGGGATTTTATTAATTTTGCACGAAAAATCCCACTTTAATAAAAAATAGTTTATCATTGAATTATATATGGATTCAATAACAATCTTATTTTCATTTTAAGATAAATAAACTGTAATGCCTAAAAATATATTAAAACACATTTTTATCACTTGCTTAAATGCCATTTTTAGCATCTTCCATTCAGTGTCAAGTCACTTCCTGCTTATAAATTTTTATGATAATTATTTGTAATAGCTAATTATCATTAAGATTATTTATTATTAATAAAGTATTATCATTGATATAGCATGGAGGAAGTGCAAACAGATCAAGGAAAAGTACTCTGTAACTAGCAGTTAATCAACTTGGAGTTAACTCTTTGGAAAGCCTTTCTTTTTGTGTCAGTTTATATTTTAATTAAAAATTACTAATAAACCAGTGGTCCAAATAGACTGGAAATTGTTTTATCCTTCAAGTTTGAGCAGTTTAACAGTATTATACTAATAGAAATTTTGGAATGAAGTTCCATTTTTTCTACAACATATAAAAATCAAATCATTATAATATAAATTAGGTAAAAATAATGCTATATATTTGCCATTATATTTCTCTTTCATTTAATCTGAGTTTCATATTTTTGACCGATTCATCTTTTGGTGGTCAAAAATGGATATGATTTTCTTTTTCTTTTGTCCTTTTTATCAGACAGTGGTATGTCTACTGGACAATGGTGCTGATATCAACAGACCAAATCATTATGGTTCTACGCCTCTCCATTTTGCCTGCAGGTAAGGTTTAATTTAATACCTTAATTAGATCCACACTAATATGCATAATGTATTCTGTAATGAGAAAATTATCTCAAATTGCATTGATTAGATTAATGAAAAATTTAATTTGTCATTAAAAACAAAGAAAAAAAACAGCAAAAAGGATAATCATGACACCCTATACATATGCCCATCCGCACAGATGGGCGCATATGCACACACACATGCACCATGCACATGCACACATGCACTATGAAAAAAGCTTACACCAATGATAAATGCATATAAAAAAGAAAAATCAAGAAGTATATGGAGTCAGTTGCTGATACCCACTGACTTAGTGGATGTTGGGTCCATCGAAACTCTGTAGATAACCTCAATCAGCTAAGTAACAAACCTTTTACTTATATATATATATATATATATATATATATATATATATAGGGTGCAGCAGAAATACTTCGCATACTGTAAAAGTTGACAAAAAGACCACAGTAACTGCTATTAAAAAATTTATTTCACTGTTGTTTAAACAAAGGGCTACATTTTTTATTAATTTGGTTTTAAAATTGACATCCTCCAAATGGTGGCCTCTATTTTTCATACATTGTTATAGAGAATTTCTAAAGGTTTCTGTCATCTGGAAGTTTGAGTGCTTCAAGGTATTTTTCTTTTAAGCATTGAATCTATGGCCCTGAAATTATCAATCCATTTTGCTTGAAATTTATAAAATCTTTCTCTTAAAACAATTTTTCAGAAAAATATGTTTTTCAAAAGAATTAACAAAAGTTGACAAAGCAAGTTTAATTTGAAAACAAGTAATCAATACTTGTGAAATGAAACAAGTGATCAATACTTGTGAAATGAAACAAGTAATCAATACTTGTAAAATGAAACAAGTAAGCAATACTTGTAAAATGAAACAAGTAAGCAATGCTTATAAAATGAAATTATTCAATATTCATTTTTAATGTTTAGAATATTTCTTATTACTATAAACATTGTTTAGTGGATCCATGTGTTTGAGAAGAGCCCACCCCCACCTTTTTTTAAAAGCACACCTAGTAGAAAGGTAGTTTTCCCAATGTAAGGCGGATGTGTGTTTTCAGTCTCTGCTAAGAGATACATTTTCTTTTTTAAGACTTTTAATTTCACAAGCCAGTAGACATTTATTACAGTTAAAAAAGAAGAAGAAAAATCCTGTATCTCTACCCACATATATGCATCCTCTAAATATGTTTGTAGCAATAAAAATAATGTTGGATTATTTTGTGATGTCAACAAACACTCGTTGCCACTTTTGTGATGTCAACAAATACTCATTGTCACTTTTGAAATGCTTGTTGTAGTAGAGACTTTGTATTTGCAGATACAACTATAGTACATCATTGAACAATACTGGTGTCAGATGCCTTCAAATAACACTCATACTAATAGTACTTGCTCGATAATACTTGCTCAAATAGTAATCTGTATAGTGTTCTGAATCGTGATCTGAATAGAGAAAAAGTATAGTGAATAGAGTACAGAATAGTGGTCTGTATAGTAAAAGAGGATAGAGTAGAAATGGAGATCCGAATAGTAATAGAAGATAGACTAGAAATGGCAATAGTTTAGCCATCATACTACTACCTACTTATGCATTTCTCCCATGATCACATGATTCACTTAATTCAATAATGAGATTGCCTGTGTTTGCTCACTGGCAATCTCTGTTCAAACTCAAGTGTTGACAGCAACACTTTATTCCTATATAACAGATTAAAGCTCCATTAATTCCTTAAAAATATTTTTTTTATCTAGCTCAAAAGTAATATCAAATGTCAATGCTTTTATATTATTATTTTAACTGCTTTTATATTGGTCTTGATTTTCAGTCATGGCCAAAGAGACACAGCTGCCATACTGCTTCAACGAGGAGCCAAATTCATGAGTGATAAAAATGGGAAGACACCACTTGATGTTTCAGTGGAAGTAAGTAGCAATTAAATGCTAGTAAAAATTGATGATATTTTGATGAAAATTCAATAGGTTTTATCTACTTGTGTTTGTATTGGTTAAATGTTTAAATTAAATACATTTATTTAATTCATAAGTTTTGTAAAAAAATTAAAGAATTTTGGGTACAAAAAAATTATTCTTTACTAATTTTGATATTACCATGATCAATCAAAAAATTAATTACTTGAAAATCATAATTATACTTGAAACATGACATTGACAGATTTAACAGAAAATTGTCTTGAAAACTTTGGATTTATAAGATTATATGTAAAGAAGAAAGTATATTAATTTATTAATACTTAACAGTGTCCCATAACACAATACAGTTTACTAACTAGCATGTAGTTTTGATTGATATGTTACATCAGTTTTATTATTTTTATTTTAAATAACAATTGATGACTAAAAATAGTAAATCAAATCTTTTACTTTATTTCTAGCAATCCAAAACTTAAGACACAAATGCAGCAATTTTAAAATAATAATTTAACTTCACTAAATCTTAGATTCAAAGATTTGTATTTTCAAGGAATTTTATATTTACATTTGTCTTTTTTCTTTTTGTTTACATGCCATGCAATTAATGATTAATGTTATTTGTTCTCTTTCAGGGTGGCTATGCTGAAACATGTGTCTTACTTCTCTCTTCCATCCCACGACTCTTTGATTCTCTAATTATGATGGCACAACGAGAAGATGTCAAAGAAAAAATGGTACTTCTTTTTTTTGTGGCACTTATCATACTAGAATTTTTTTTTTGCAACATGATAACACGTGTTGAAATCCACACAGTATTTAACATTGTTGAAATTAACACTAACATTTTTGGTTGAGATTTACAAACTCTACTCTCCCTACTGTGCTTATATTTACAGTGCTACTATTTTTTATTATATTTTACTAGAATGTAATCCAATATATAAACTTAAAGAAAAAATATGCAAAAATACAATATTGCATTTTTATTAAATAAGTATTTATTTTAATCATTGTTTTTAAATAGTGGGAATATTTTGTATGTTAAATAATAAAACTTAATTTTTCTCAAAAAATAAATGAAAATTTATTGTACTAAACTATGCACCCTAGTAAAACCAACTGTACTTTGTACCCACTTACCTGTTTGCACTTCTCCCCAAAATTTGGTTTCAGTCAGTCAATGTATGGCTATTTTCGAGGGTGTGACAGGCTAACAGAAGTCACAGAATTATATATATATATATATATATATTGCATATGCATTAAATCTATGTAAAACAGTTTTTGGTTACTCCATCAAATATTGGTAAAATAGTCGAGGAATGACTCCTGACTGGTTTTGTGATCTGATATGTTAAACGGTACTCATTCTTATGGTCTAAAGTGATATAAACCTACAGAAACAAATACTTATTGTGAATATTAATCTTTTAGGAAAAATTGCATTTAAATAACAAGTCAAAAATGGAATATTGATATCTTAATTGAATTAGTATAATAACAAAAGCAATTTGATAATGTAGATGTTGATACGCTTTCATGAAAGTACTTTTGCCTGAATATAAAGTGTTTTTTTCACACATAGAGCTGCATCTACTCATAAATACATGTACATAAGGAAAGTTTTATTTGGGATTAGCTGAAATTGGAGCCAACAAGAATTGCCAATCTATCACAGCAAACAAATTATATTGAGCCTCTTTGTTTTCCTTTGAAAATAAGAAAGATTAAAATCCTCTGATGATTGCTTTAAAAAGCAATTAATAATTATAATGGCAATAATTGTATCAATCATATTATGAAATTAATAAATTGAATATACACTGAAATAATTAACTCAAACTAATATCTATTACATTTATTCACAGTCTGTCAGTCTGCATTGAGTAGATTTTATATTTACATTGCATTGGAAATTCTATAGCATTTTAATATTTTGAGAGTTTTATATTTGTAAAATACATTTTGATTGGTATTTATTTTTGTTCAGTATGACTTGATTTGCAAATATTTTAAATATATAGAAATAAATGGACAATAATGAGTGACACAATGTATTAAAATTAAGTGTTTTATGTCTTTTATAATGTTTTATATGTAATAGATTTATTGTGATATTGTTTGTTTTATGTCTTTTATAATGTTTTATATTGTTGTAGAGTAGTTTCACAGTGGAGGTTTGTATTTTCACTAAGTCAGTCCTAAAAAGGTTCGACACACAAAACGTTAGGAACTTGATATGACAGATAATGATGCAGAGAAATCTAGTGGTGGTCGCTGATACTTTAATTTCCAACTAATTGTCCGATATCAAATGACTGAGCCAACTCTCTGAGTGATTCACTTGTTACTATTACTACTACTTATTATAGGTGGGAGAGTCTACTGACTATAGAATAGGTGTGTTCCACTATAACATATATGTAATAGATTTATTGTGATATTGTTTGTTTTATGTCTTTTATAATGTTTTATATGTAACAGATTTATAGTGATATTGTTTGTTTTATGTCTTTTATAATGTTTTATATTTAATAGATTTATTGCGATATTGTTTGTTTTATTACTTTTATAAAGTTTTATAGGTAATAGATTTATTGCAATATTGTTTGTTTTATGTCTTTTATAATGTTTTATATGTAATAGATTTATTGTGTTATTGTTTATTTCAGTTATTCCGTGTGCTGTCTCACCTTTGCCAAAATCAGACTGAGGAGAAATCAGACAGATTGTTGATTGGTTTGGCTGAACAAGCCTTTAGTATTGGGCAGAAACTACTCAGGTAATATGACAACACTTTGAGTAAATCTATGTTTTCTATTCTCCTGTAATTTAAATAAATGTTATATATTATAATGATCTATTTTCAAGTGTATCAAACTGACAACTTCATCAAATTATGTCAGTGGTCAGAGCTTCATCATTCTTCTGCACTAATCATTAGGCCAAAATTTAATCTCCAGTTTGAATTTTAATGCTTTTGTCTACATTGTTCATATTTTTTTTAATGCCATGTGCCTTCAAGATGTAAGTGATCATGGCTCTCCACAAATTCCTTTTTTCTTTATTATATGTGACTTACCATGCATTCTTGGTGAAGATAGTGGAGTGGTTTCCTGTTGCCTTCTCCATGGTTTGAAATTCAGACTTTTTACTACCCAATGCTAGAGAGCCATAGATTTAACCCATAGATGGGGGGATGAATAAGAGACTGGTTTATACCTTTCCTATGGGCATTAGTGCAAAATTAAACACAATATACTAGTCTGGAATTTGAACTTAGTAATGAAATACTAGGCAATGAATTTCATCAACTTCATTTTCAGTGGTGCTGTAAATTTAAAATCTTTGAGTTTTTACTATGACAGATATTTTTTGTGTGTAAATGTGTCACTGATTTAACCCATGACAGATCACTAATAAATAAGGAAGGGTTCAAACATTTACTTTATCCTCTTCAAGTTACTTCTTTCTGTTTGGTTTGCCTGGTAATATCTATAGGCAAAATTAACAACACAGACTGACATCAAATTTTGGATTAAAAAATATAAAAAAATTATTTTAAATCTAAATTTCTAAATCAATTTTTCTTGAATTTCTTTTTTTATTTGGAATAGTCCTGTGTAAATTTCAAACATTTTTGTATGTTGCCAAAATTAATTTATTTTATAAGTTCTGAAAAATAAAATTCTTCTAATTTATCCTCAAATATAGCTAACAACATCTATGTGCTGTGTTCCTTCAGAATGTGGATGATCATGGCTCTTCACAATTTCCTGTCCTCTGCAGCTTTTTATATTTTTCCCTATCCTCTCCTAATCCTTGTTCTGCCAACCATTTACACAAACTCGTTAAGTTGGTTATGCTCTTGCTTTCCTCTGTGCCTCTTTCCTTCAATATATCCTGTGAGTATCAAATTTTCCAAGCCCTCATTCCTCATATGCCCTACAAATTTCAACTCTATCTTTCTGATTCTAAGTGTCTTTTTGTTTGTATTTTCCCTAAAACTTTGTCATTGCTCACATGTCCAGTCCATGGTATTTTCAGCATCCTTCTGTAGAACCAAAGTTTTGTCACCTCAACTCTCTTCTTCATCTAGTAAAGCTTGAAAAAGTTTGGTGAGGAGACACATCTTTGTCTTATATTGATTTCTATTTTTGTGTATTTACTGAATTCAGTTTGTATCTGTATGCAGGTGTTTTGCTTCCAGTATAAGTTCTGGATTATTCTAATATCCTTCCCAAATAAATTAAGTTTACCTAGCAGTTCAAACAGTTCTTTGTGACATACTTTATCAAGTGCTTTTGCATAATCTATAAAACATAGGTATACTTCCATTTGCATTTGTATTGCTCTTTCTGATACCATTCTGAGAATAAACATTGCATTTCTTGTTCCAGTATCTTTAACAAAACTGCACTTTTCATGTCCTATTGCTGGTCTTATTCTTTTATGTGCTTTATTAATAAGAGCTCGAATGATAAATTATTTTATGTGGGTCATTAGGTTGATTGTCTGATGAAGTTCCTATTTGTTTGCTTCTTGGTTCTTCGGTAGTACTATGAAAATCAATCTACTTCAGTTTTCCAGTATATCACTGGTGTCATATATTTCATTTATTATATCTGTAATTTTGTCAATACTGAAATTATATAAAACTGCCAACATCTCTGTTACAATTCCATCTGGTCCCACTACATTGCTCCTGTTCAACTTGGTCAGTGCCAATTTCACCTTAGATTTCTGGGTTTTTGATATTTGCGTTTATTGTGTGCTTTCCGCTTTCATTGTGGAAGAGTTCACCAATGTATTTGTTTCATCTCTGAAGTATTTCCTCTTCCTCTATTACCCGTGTTTCTTCTTTGAATTTTATGCATCTTGTTGATGAGCATGTCTTTTGTCCTGTTCTCTTATTGTGTTATGCATAGCAAAGCTATAACAGGGTAGTAACCCTGGTTCAACATTTTACTGCATGATTGGATATAACAGGGTGGCAACACTAGTTTAACATTTTACTGCATCAGATTATCTAATGTGTTATGGAGTGATTTCACAGTGGAGGCTTGTATTTGTACTAAGTCGGTCCTAAAATAGGTTCGACGTACAAAATGTTAGGAACTTCATATAATAGGTATGACACAGAGTAAATCTAGTTGTGGTCGCTGATACTTTAGTATCCGACTAACAGTCGACTGACTGAGCCAACTCACTGAGCGACTGACTTGTTACTCTTACTACTCCTACTTATTATAGGTGGGAGAGTCTATTAACTATAGAATAGGTGTGTTCCACTATAACATAATGACAGTTTGAAACAGGAAGTAATTAAGAATAAACAGTGAAAAAACTCAAGGAAAGTAATTAAATGTTAAGAAGAATAAACAGTGAACAGATTAAAAATAATTAGAAGCCATAAAATGAGTTTGGAGTAAGTTCTATGAAGATTCAATCCTAAAATAAACAAGTAGAATTTATTAAGATTTAGTAAGAATAGATCATCTTCAACCTACTCAGTTGCCTTGGGGGCAATATGACAAAGGTTTATGGCCTTCTGAAATTTCCCAAGGAAGCATTCTTGCTATATTTATACAAATATTTATACACAGAGGAGACAAGAAGATAACAAGATCCATTCATAAACCATTCCCTCCTCTTGCTGCTACTGCTTCTGCCACTAACAAACCCACTATCACAAGCCCAGATAGACAAAAATACAGTGCCAGAGCCTAGGGTCCTTCATTTACAACACATTACTACCACAGTAATTTTCCTTCTGAAAAACCTTCAACCAGGCTACATTTAAAAATTAGTCTTCATTTCTTATCTCCTTTCAAATTCTTCAATTTCCCTTCACTAGACCCATTGTTAATTATCAAGAGTGTTTGTTGGTTTTTCCTGTGTAGTTAGTTTTCAGCAGTGACAAAGAAGTTACCATAGCCACAGAGTTTTCATAAAAATGCAAAAAATGTTTTCAGATATTTTAGATATTACTTAGTATTTTGCTTTAATTTGACTTTAGTAAATGTGTTTTAAGAAAATTTAAAATAGCTAAAGCATAATTTCAACATTTAATTGACCTCAATATAGTCAGTAAAACTCAATGAATTCTAGAGGGAAAAAAATTAACAGTTAGTTTTAAAACTCTTAAAATTAATACATTTAAAAATATACATTTCTGCAATTAGTGTTTTACCTTTAATTATATTTTCTTGTCTATTATGTACCAATATCTATTCAAATTTAACAATTTCTTTGTATGTGGGATTATTTTCCAGTGTGTCCAGTTCTTTAGAGCCTGAAGTTCACTGCTTACTACGTTGTGTCACCTTTTTGTGTAAGTTGTATCGACAAGTGTACAGCCTGAAAACCAAGGTGAATACTTCCAGTGCCCTGAATAATGTCTCACCTATTCCAGCTAAAGCCTGCAAAATATTCCAGGTAAGGAATATCTTTCATTGTTCATATAAAGGTATAATAAATGATTGTTACTCTAAGTCATTCTTAAGCTTAAAATTTGATATTTACACAAAACACTATTTTTCAGATGAAGATTGTCATTATTATTTTTGTCTATCCAATATGTTAATAAATGTTTTGTACTATTATCAAAATTCTTAACAGGGCTTAATATCAGTTAGTTTTATTCTATTAAGATTTTATACTGACACAAAAACTTAGAGGGTTCCCATGACAAAACAAAATAGGAATGTAGCTATAAATCAGTTTTTGGTAAACTTGTATGAATTTAGACGTGAACTAAGAATATTACTTGCAACTATATGGTGGAAGAAGGCTGAGAAAGCATTTAAGATTTTTGTATTTTTAAATTAATTCAGACAGCAGTTGTATTGTAAGTGAAGTTTTAGGCTAGTTTATAAAAATCTAATTAAGATTTAGAATTGATTTTATAGATGGTTGTTTTGTCTTCATGTTCATATTGACATCATTATAACAAATGTAAGTAAAATTAAATAGAAAAAAAAGACGTGCAATATTGAATCTTTCGATATTACTTTCCTTTTTTAGCCTTTGGAAGTTTTATGGAAACTCTTGGATGACTGGCTGAATTTATTAGAAGAAGAATTCAAAAACTTCAACAACTCTGAGAATGGAAAGATAACCAATATGGAAGCAATTCATGCAAGTGAAATCAATCCTGAACCTCAGCACATGTTAGAGCCAAATCCTTTCTTGACAGTCAACACAGAACAATCAGAGAAAAACAAAAGTGCAGATGTTTCCAGTGTGTGGGAGATGGAAAGTAAAATGAGCCTGCCATCCAATTTGCCAGGAGATCAGACATCAGCACGTGCCACAGTTGAGAACAAGGGACAGACAAAGAGTCAAAATGTTGAGACTAAAAAACTAGGCGTGCATTCTTGGGATGGCCTCCAGGGCACAGGGCAGGAGATCATCACAGCAACCGTGCCACGTATTTGTGCAGTCATACAAGCCTTCTACCAGTGTTGTACATGCTTCTCACCACAGCCGTAAGTTTCCATCTCACCTTATTAATCTGACTTACATTGCCAAAATTAACAGACAAGTTTCAATACACACATATGTGCACAAAAAAACGTTAGAGACACAAGACTGAGGATCACTTCATCGTGTGAAACTTAAAGTTTTGGTTGCCTGACACTTTTAGATTGAATTCTAGTTCTATTCTAGGTCAGTTCACTCACTGAAAATTTGTAGATTATTGAGCATTTTGTATCTTTCTGAATTAGGTTCTCCAATAGTTCTTATTTTCCCTTTTTCTCTGCCAGCTTAGACCTGGTACCGTTTGTATTTTGCTTTTATTGTTTTCAAGGTTCCTTGTGTCTGTATATATTCTTATGTGTGTATGTGTATGTATATATATATATAATATATATAATATATATATAATATATATATATATAATATATGTAATATATATATAATATATATATATATATATATATATATATATATATATATATATATATATATATATATATATATACACGATTGAGCAGATACTAACGTACAAGAGAATATCATGGAGAATTGTAGTTTAAAACAATAAAATCAACTTTGCTAACCATAACGCCCTCTGTGGCGAAATCAGTAAAAGCATGTCAGGCTATATGACGGTTCTGTATAGGATATATATATATATGTGTGTGTGTGTGTGTGTGTCTTTAAGCAGCAAATTCTCTTTTAGGCATGTCTGATTGAATAAATTTCAAACATTATGTCTGCTTATTTTTATCATAATATTTTAATATTCACAAATATTTTTCTGTATATTACAATTAAATAAGGCAAGAAATGCACCGTAACAGTGAGAATCACTTTTATTTCCCAAGTACTTTCCATCTCTTTTTGAGATCATCATCAAGGCAAGTTGGATAGCTACACATAGTTTTGCCTTAACAACTGCAGCCCATTTAATTATGTTGCAATATGAAATGTGTTTTCAAGCAATAATCCCCAGCTATGGGTTAAATAGTAAAACTTGTATCTAGAAAAACATTGTTATTCTCAAAAAATTGTTAATGCAATATTCACTCAGAAAAAAAAAATATAATTATTGCAATCCAAAATATGTTTCAGCTTTAAATAACCTACAATGGGTTGATAAACCATAAAAAAGCAAATCAATCACTTCAAACAATATTTTTTGTTGAGTCCTTTTGTGAAATATAACAGCTGAACAAGGTTTAGTAGCTGTCTATATCTCTGAGATGAGGCATTATGATTACTTGCATTATTTATATTATGAGCAGTGGATAAAGATGTTGGTTAGATCCAGTGGCTAGACCCAAAGAGTTGTGAGTTCAATACCAGGCCACAGCAGTGGTAAACCAAAAACTTGGAGAATTGAGTTAAAGGGAAATAACTGAGACATCCGGAAGAGGCATGGCACGTGGATCTAGAACAATCTAACCCAGTGGACAAAATAGTCTTTAGTTTGAAATTCCAATCACCTGAAGAAGGCTGGAGTGTACAACGGCCGAAACATTGTGAATATGGCAATGAAGATGAGGATAACAGTTTGAATAATGTAAATAATGCAAGTAAGGTTTGGCATGTTTAATAAGAGGGTGGCAAAATAGTGAAAGAGGGAAATAGACTTTTACTGTTTGGGATATTTTAGATTGGTGTCAGGATGAAGGAAGAGAAGGATTTTCTTCAGTTTCAAAAATACTAGTACTAATACATCTAGTTCTTATTGTCCCACAGTAGCCTAGTAGATTAAAGTGTTGTTCATGAATTTGGTGATATAATAATTGTAAGTTCAATCCCTGGGTTGGGCAGTGTGTACTTGGATTCAGTGGAAATGGAGCAAGCAATAACTGAGCAGTACTAAATAAGAACAAAATGAGTGATATCCATAGACATGGGAATATAAATAAAGAAAATATAGATTTGTTCAAAATAATACAAATGTAAATAATAGATTTAATATTTGCTCTCACTGTAGAGCACTTTACTTCAGAGGTGACTCATGGAATAGTTGCCAAAATGGTAAACTGGACATTCCATCTGCAACTGTACTTACAAACTCTTTGTACATTTCTTGAATTAAACACATTAATTTCAGTGACAATATCCAAAGTTATCACATTCATGTTCATGTCATTTCAAGCAAACATTCCTGTATCTCCTGGAAGGAGTATCAACTGTTACAGAATGTTGAATCATACATATCACTAGCCAACAATTCTTACTTCAGAAAAAATGAACAGAGGCATTATGGACAACTGTATGTTGTTGACACAGCAGAAGCTATAAAGATAAGGATGGCAGTGTTACCAAACAATAACTGTTTACAAAATGTCATAGAAACTATAAATAATGTCATTAACAGCTGTAATCTTCATGCACAAGCATACAGAAAGAAATATAAGATAAAATGGGGAAAAATAACATCTAGCAAGAAAATGTAATGGATCTTTTTTTTTTAAGCGTTTCACCCCACTGTAATATAAGTTGATTCTTTCTTTTGCCTTTTGCTATACAGCTTAGCTGATTCATCTTCCAAGATGACAACCCCCAAACATATTTAAAAACATTATCTCAGAATGGTTTCAGAAATATAAGTAATGAAATGGTCTATTCATCTATCTGACCTAAATCCAGTTTGTTACAGAATTGGCAAATTACTACCCAGAAGACCCTGTGGGCATGGAATTCTGACAATGGTGGGTTGCAGTTGTTTAAGTGTTGATATAAGATCAAAATGTGTGATGACAGTGAGACAGCTGCAAGAATTAGAAAGTGTTAGGGTGGCTTGACACACTCAGATTCCTTAGTGAGACAATGCAGCACATAGCAATTAGATTTTGGCTAACCGGTTAACATGTGTCCTCTCAATTTTCTCCCTCTTTCCTAGAAATGATACAATGACTACTGTCCCTCATAAAATAAAATGAGATAAAAGAGAAAGAAAATTGTTGTTGATGCAGTTTATGATATGACTTTGGGGCCTGAAGATTTAAAAACAGATATGACACAAGTTGAACATTTGGGGCATTGACAATGTAAATCATTGTTTATAAATGGAAGCCAATGAATGTGAATGATTTAGAATGTTTCCCTGTAGAATAATGGTTGAAAATACATTGAGAGATGTGAAAGCCTTATCAAAAGCATTAGAAAATGTCTATTTGCAAGGATCAGTGCCAAAAGAACTTAAGTTTTATTTGAGGTTTGCAGAAGTTACAATAACATAAAGATAATTATGAAAAAACAATTTCTCTTATTTATTATCAACTGATGTATTAAATTGTTTTACGAGGAAGTATTTTTTAACAGAGGATGGAAAATGTGACACCAAAATCCAAAGGTGCAATGAAGTAGCAAAAGATGTTTTCCAAAAGTTAAGCACACTATAAACAAAAAGGAAAATTTCACTGGAAACAAAGGAAAAAATACTGAACTGTTATGTAATATCAGTACTCCCATCTGACAGAAAATGCTGACCATCTTGACACAAATGGGGAAGAGACTTGAGGCATCAGAAATGTGGTTCTACAGAAGGATGCTGAGAATGCCATGAGCTGAACATGCAAAGAACAACAAAGTTTTAGAGAAAATGGAAACAAAAAGAACATTTAGATGTAGCATCAGAAAGAGTTGAAATTTCTAGACCATGTAATGAGGAAAGAGGGCTTGGAAAATTTGATACTCACAGGACATATTGAAGGCAAAAAGGACAAAGGAAAACAACGAATAACCTACCTAGCTTCTGTAAATGGTTGGTAGAACAGGGATTAGGAGATATAGCAAAAAGATAAACTTTACTAAGGACTACAAAGGGCAGGAATTTGTGGAGAGCCATGATCAACAAAGTCCTGAAGAAGTAGTGAGTAGATTATTAATATAATCAAATACAAAATGATTAAATGGAAAAAATAATCTAGGGTTAAATATGTGCATTTCTTATATACATTTAAAAAATTTTGTGTAAATACACAGAATTAAAAGGCAGCAAATATTCTTTAAGAAAGCCATTGTATAGTATGGCCTTCTCTTTATGACAACATATATTCTGTGTTGTTTAATTTTACTGATCAACTTTTTCAAATTACAAATTATCTTTTTCAGACAAGAAGGAAATTCCATCAGAAATCGTCCAAAGTTAATTTTGGAAAAAATATGGTCCAAGCTTTCAACTTTCTTAAGTCTTTATTTACCCTGATGATGACTTAAGAAAGTCAAAAGCTGTTATAACTCACTCCTATCAGTTATAATATTATGTATCGACTGACTTCAACAGAACTCTCCTGACTCACTTTGAGTTTTTTATTTAAAGTGTCTTGCCTAGTTTATTGTGTTACCTGGGGTGTCTTATTTACTCCACAACAAAAGATTGCACTATATTTCTTCCAAAATTAACTTTGGACAATTTTTGACAGAATTTTCTCTTTGTCTGTGAACAATCATTTGTAATTTGGAAAAGTTGATCAGCAAAATTAATCTCCATAAAATGTCTGTTGTCTTTAATAATATTTGCCTTAAAGAACATTAAATAATATAGATCTGTTACATATACATGAAATATTAGAACATATGTGTTACATTACAATTCAAATCCTGATTTTGTCTTGACTTGTTTGCTATTTACACATTTTCCATAAATTTGCTTCTAAATCCTATTTTATTAGATCTTTATAACAACTGTTTTTGTGGACTTTAAACTAGAATATTTATTTTTTATGCTTTAATTTCTTTGGTTGCTGTAATTCTTTTGTTTTATGCAATTTGTGTTGAAAACATGTCCTAATAATACACTGGAAAGCTTTATAATCAAAAGTACTTTCACTTTCTGCAAATCCCACATATTCACAGATGTTTCAACAATATAAAACTTTTCTTTATAGAACAATTGGTAGAGAATTCTTACTTTTATTAATTTGTTTCCTAATATTTTTTATACTGCATGCATGAGAATCAGATGTCCTACAGAATTTCAGTATTGGTAAATGAGTGGTCAGGATAAATTCCAATGGATCTATTTCCCATATTTTGATTATTTCTTTGTATGGATAGGCATGGAAGATATTTGATTTTAATTTTGCTCTTAAAATAGATTTTTATTTATTTTATTATCATTTTCACCACAAGCAATACTATAAAGCCACTAAGATTATGATGCAAGTGTTTATTGAGTGTGAAGGAATATGATGAAAAGAAAAACATTATTAAGGAGAGAGAACAATAAAAGAACAGGAATTAAGAATACAAAAGATGATGATTGACATTGCATTTAAATTTTGAAAGTTGACTGGAAAGCAAGAAGCTGGAAGAGAGTCCCACAAAGGAGAAATGTCAAAGAAAAACTGTTAGCATAAAACTTATGGCTTCATCTAGCAATTCCAACTATAAAATGATGGAATGTGGCTGACAATATAGTACTGTGCTTAAATTCATAAAATCACGGTACAAAAGAGGAAAGCTCATCAAAACAATTACTTAATTAGAGAACAGTCTTGACATATATATATATATATATATATAAGTGATTATCAAACATGAATTAAAAAAGACAAAATTGGATCAAGTCTACATCTTGAAGAAAAAAAGTATCTTATTTAGATTTGGAAAGACCATTGCCTGGTGAGTCATCCTAAATTTAAGTATCTTGATTGATCAATTATTTGGAAAACTATTTTTAAGTCATAACTGGATAATTTCTCTATTAAGAAAGAGAAGGTAAATGATGATATTTTATAATGTCAGGTTTACTGATTCTAAGGCTGCTATATTTCAAAATGTATCATCTGCATTTATTTATTTTTCTTTTCTTATTACAGTATCACATCACCACGCTTCATAGAGTTTGTTAGTCAACACAATAATGTTTTAAAATCTTTGGTCGCCAGGTAAGTTATAAATCCTGAGGTATTTTTTGTCTCACTGTTTCTCTTGTCTTTATATGCATATAACCTCATAATTTTAATTTGCATGTTGCAATAACTCTACTCATTGATGTCTTTTAATAAAAAAAATAGTTAATAATTTCTGCTTTTGTTTAGCATAAACATTATTGGTAGTATATCATATTTTATTAAATAAGTTACTTAAAAAATTATAAAAATCTTTGTCTACAATTTTCTAAATTGTTTTATTGAATTATTTGTTTTCTTTATTTCAGAAATCCAAAAGTTATTTTTGATCATTTTCATTTTTTATTGGAATGTCCAGAACTAATGTCCCAATTCCTGCATATCATCAAATCTCAGGTAAACCTTTGCAAATATTTTGTTACTATCAACCTGTATAAATATTTAAGCATCTTGTCGTTCATATATACAGGTGTCCCCAAAAAATGTACTCATTTTTTTTATTTTTTCAGCTGTTTGAATATTTATATAGATACTAACTTTAAAAATAAAAAGTATAAGTAAAAGTTTTCAAATATTGGGTTTTTTTATTTTAAGAAAGGTAAAAAAGAACTCAGATGCAAAGAAGGTTTGTGAAGTTTATAGAGAAGGTGCAGTAAAAGATACAAAATGTCAAAAGTAATTTTTGAAATTTCATGAAGAAAATTTTTCATTAACCAGTGCATTATATTTGGGTCAACCATTTGGTACTGATCAAATTAAGACATAACTTACAGATGCAGGAGATAGCCATCATACACAAAATATCCAAATCAAGCAGTGAAAATCATTTTCATCAATTTGATTATGTTAGTTACTTTCATGTGTGATTTCCACATAAAAAAAAATCCTACTAGACCATATTTTTTAAACAAATTAGCTTGGGTGATGAAAAGTGGGTACTTTACAACAAGCAAAATGAACCATCACTAATCTCATACCAGAGACCGTTCTTCATCCAAAGAGGGTAATGGTGATTCTGTGTATATTATAAGAGTGGAAATGAGTTCACTACCATGACCTCCTTCCAAAGAACCAATTGATTGATTCAAACAAATATTACCCCCAATTAGACTTAATGAATGTAGTAATTGAGGAAAAACTTCTGGAATTGGATAAGATAATCAAATAATATTCTATCAGGATATAAAACTAGACAATTTTTTTTATGACCAAGCAAAAATGCTGACATTTTAGCAAGCAAGTTGTCTCTTGTCCATTGTATTCACAAGATATTGCACCTTTGAATTATGATTAAGTTAATGTAGAATTCTCTTAATGAAAAGAAATTTCTCTAGAAGTTTACAAAATGTATTTAGAGATAAAATATTCTGGGAGGGTAGAATTATGGCATTGCTTGAAAGATGGCAAAATATAGTGGAATAAAATGGTGAATTTGTTGTTCAATAAAGTTAATATAATTTTTTTAAAAAATGTTTTTTTTACTTATTTTTACTTAATAAACTGATTTGCTTGGATAACTCAATATATATTATCTCATTACAATTCATTTTTTTCCCTATGTATAACTGACAATATTATTTGAAGAAAATTTATAATTAAAAATATTAAAGAAATTATCCAGCTGCTACAAAATCCTTTTTCTTCATTGTCTCTCTATTATTTCTTTTCGCCTCTCATTAGCCATTTTCAGCTCGACAGGAATGGTTCTATGAAAACCTTCATCCGGAAGATTATGACAACGACATGTTCCACTCACCAACATCTCAGGAGTCTTTGGTTATTGATAGAAGTAAGTGTTAATTCAGTTTTATTACCTGTACTTTATATGGTACATGTAATGAATTTGAATCTATATGTTTATACGTTCTTTTATAGTTTTTTTATTCTTTTTATAGTAGTTTTTTATTTGACTTAATGTAAACTTATGAAAAGGTTTAATAGGGATAAGCAGTAGATGGTTACTTCAGCTAATATTTATTTAGTCCATGGGAGGAAATTTTCTTTTCAAAGTTTTATTTTGTTACATTTTATAATCTTATAATTCAAAAATGAAGTTCTTTATCTTTTTCCCAATTCAAGCAAATGATTGAATTACTAATAACTTCTTTTGAATCTTTTATGTAGGTACCACCACTGATTTGCTAAAAAATTAGCATACTATGATGAAAAAAATGCCCCAAAGTTTTATTGTCAAAATCTTTGTTATTATTAAGAGGATAGACCAGAAGACTTTTTGATTATTAAATTATATTTTTTCATCCTTTTTAGAATGTTTGAAATTATTCAATTTATGTAATTTTGAGAAATTAAACTTTGCACCACTTAATGTTTATATTAGTTAAATGCACAACTCATTGCATAATTTTAATCAACTATTTAATTTTATAAAACGGGAATACCATTTACTAAAAATCTCTAAATCATAAAATAAAAAATGCAATGAAACTAAGAGACTATTTAATTAGAAAAGCTTTTACTTGCTTTTATGAATAAGATATATTATTGACACTATTGTCTTAAGAAAAAAAATTTTCAATGCGTAATGAATTTTTACAGTTGTTTTCAATTTTTTAAGTTAAATTTACTAATCATAAGTGGAAAAGCTTAGTACAATTCAATTTGTGATACTTGTAACATAGAATGCACTTTACAGGACACTGCTGGCAAGCAAAAGAAGAATTTGTGAGTGATCTACTGCTCTGGAAACCTAGCCATGATGCCTGTATGACAACTGACTTTTGAATTAAAAAAAAAAGCTCTATACATATCTAACAATAATTGCCAGTGAGTTTATTGTAAGTAAACAATTGATTTTAACGAGCAGTCCTAATTTTGGAATGTGTACACTTTCCTTATTGCAGATCGTTTATTTGATAGCAGTTGTGAGGAATTAAACAAAGCAAGTCCTAGCAAGTTGAAAAAGAATATCTCCATCAAATTTGAAGGAGAAGAAGGAATGGTGAGAGTTTTCTTGATTTCCTGATTTTCATTTATTTTGTCATATTTGTTATTTCTCTTTTGTGCTTTATGAACTCAGATCAACATTTTAAAATAGGAAGCATATATAAAATCATTTACACAGATGGAAATGAACTTGAAATGAAATCAGATAAAGAAAATTGTGGAACTATTATTTATGTGCAAAAGATCCCAGCATCATTTCATTGAAAACTAAAAACTGAATACATAATAATATGGAACTGTTTGTTGCTATTTTTAAAAAAAAAATTTTTTTTTAATAAAAAATACTGGAAACTTTCGTTTGAACTGAATATTACAGAATTTCAGTAACAACCTTAATCAGCATATTAAATGTGATTAAAACAAGAGAAAAAGTTTTAATCATACAAAAAAAAGAATTTTTTTTCTTTTGATAAATATGAAAGAATTATCAATTTCTCCTTTTAAAAATTTTTTAATAACTTTTATTATTTTGTCTTTTTATATTTCATATCATTTTAAAAAGTAAAATATACCATAATTGATTTTATTTCTAGTCAGACACCACCTGCATGCATTCTTGTATTTTGTTCAGCATTGCTGTAGTTATGCTCATTAAAAAACAATTTTCAGTTTTCATTGAATTTGATGTTGAACTTTTATGAGAAAAAGTTCAATTACAAAAATATAAGTTAAACAAAATTTTTGAAGATATTTTTATTTTAATATGTTTAAAATTCCTAGTGATGTGACTGTCATCAAATGTTGGTTTTCATCTTATAAAAACATCTCTTCTTTTTTGTTTTGCACATCATGATTTTAGAAGCAACTGAGTTTTCTTCTTTTTCATGCCCATTGGAGAAGTAATTTTAGTTTCAGACTTTAGTAAAGTATCAAGATTTTCTCATGCAAATGTTCATTTTTCATTTCCTATTTAAATTTCAGGGTCTTGGAGTTGTTAGAGAATGGTTTGATATTCTGTCCAAGGAAATTCTCAATCCAGATTATGGCCTCTTTACACAATCAGCAGATGGTAAATATATTTTTAAAAAATTAAAAGTTTTGATTTCAGGATCATTCTTAAATTGAGGATATACACATACAGAGAAATCATAATCTAATTATCACAAATGTCAGGATTATTTATGTATGGATTCATACTTCAGCTGAGGATCAGATTATCTGGGCAATTTGGCTAAAATGAAAAGTTTGCTCTCTGCCTGGGAAGATTGTAGTAGTTGTGCATCCTGTGAAGTGTTACACACACACACACATATATATAAATATAAAAGAGTGGACATGAGGTCAATACCGAGTGGCAACAGTCTGTTTCATGCTTGAACACAATTTTCAGGCCACGTGTTCATGCATGAAACAAACTGTCAGCACTCTTAGATTTACACATGCTCTATCCCTGATATTGAGCACTTTTACCCATAAATATATAGCTTATCTTAAAATTATATTTTTATCATATACACACACATACACTCACTGCATGTTATATATGTTAATAAGATAGTTTGATTATGGCAAAACCAACTACATGCCGGTCACCACTAGTTACAAAATGTAGCCATTGAGCTACATCTAATAACACGTTAACTCCTTTGTAAGGCCAAATAGACCATTATATCTGTTCTGATACATGACTACTTCATCACAAACAGATGGATCCATTTGTTACTGTACCTTTATTAATGTCCTGTATCAAGGTACCAATGACATCATCATCATCACTGATTTTCAGTAGTTTAACAGACAATATTCATCTTTTATTAGTCATGATGTCATCATTACTCTTATCATATGCAGCTATGGGCTAGTCTGTAGTGTTTGTTGTATGAAAAATTGCTATAAGATTGTCAGCCTATGTAACATTACAGCTTCATTGAATATTTATCAAGCGGCTGTTGTCTTCAGGATTTTGGTTTTCTCATCTCTCTTAGTCATATCTTCATAAATATCTTTGTTTAGTAGATCTTGTAGGCTAAAAACAATGTAGATAGAATATGAGGAGAGGATGACAAAATAATATTTAATACATATTTATTTTTCTGGTTAAAAATCTGATAAGAGAAAGAAGTGGCAATTTTTGGCCAGAATGTAACTAAAAAGCAGGGTTTCAATTGGTCATACTCTACAGTGAATCAGTATTTAATCAGGACTCCACAACTTCCTTTCTTACATGTTTTCTTCTTTCACATGCATCCTTCACACTTAGGGGTAAAACCTTCTTGACATACACTCACACTTAGGGATAAAAACTTCTTGACATACTAATTGTTTGGAGGAAGAATTCTATGTAATCTCACACAGATATACACAGTCTCATCCAAATGCAGGTCAGTGGAGATCGAATATCAATTGGTTAGCAGAGGAAAATGTCATCCACTTAAGACAATATTTCATTTATATTGTTTCTTTTTTAACTTTCCTAATATGGATAAGAATATTTTGTGGATTTTGTTCTATATTTGCTAGTGTCAAGGACACAGATTTTTTCCTGAACTAAGTCTCAAAAATTTGCTATATAAAGGTTAGGGTTTTCATGAGACTATGCTAACCCCAGAGAAAGGTTATCGATGTCAGATGATAAACTGAATTCCTGTATGTTATGCAAATTTCCAAGACTTCAGGATTGTATCCTTGACACTGGCAAATATGGTATATCAGAAAATTGCCTTGTTTACCAAAGATTTTATAAAAATGTAATCATCCTGCACTTTTTCATGGTCCAAGGATAAATATAATAATAGTAATAATGATAATAAAAATAGGTTCTATTCTTATTTCTCACATTTTGAAAATTCAATGGAAATTTAAAACAAAATTCTAGTCTGTTATATTATTAGACTTCATAGTGTTAAATGAAGAATATCTTACACTATTTGTCACATGCAATTATTTCCATCAGCTATAATTGTTTCAGAGCTGTTCATTTACATAAATAATGAATATGTCCACAAACACACTTAAGTAGTTAATGTTCATAGTCTACTTATTTAATATATATTATATATCAGAGATAGGTTGATTATGTAGAGACGAAAATCTATGATATTCTTTAATGCCACAAGACCAAAATGCAAATTAGTAAATTATTTCTGTTAGCCATGTTTTTAATTCTTTCTGTAGAATATGGCTGTCCACATCATGGTAACTTTTCTTTTTTTAATTATTGTGCATTTAGATTAACTGGATCAGATTTTGGTGACTTGGTCTGAGCCAGATTGTACTGTCAAGCAAATTATTATCCTTAATATTGTAAGCACTTTCATTGAGTAATATTTGAAGTTTGAAAAAAAAAAAAAGAGAATTTTTTTAATGATAACATAATAATTTAAGTTGAAGTTGCATTTAACAAATAAGCAAACTCTTTTACAATGAAATATTTTTTCAGGTTGTACATTCCAGCCGAACAGTAATTCCTCCATCAATCCTGACCACTTGAACTATTTTCATTTTGCTGGCCAAATGCTTGGCCTTGCTCTTTATCACAGGCAGCTTCTTAATGTTTACTTCACTCGTTCTTTTTACAAACACATTCTTGGTGAGTAACAAGAGATTGCTAACATTATCTTTTTCTATCATCATTTTGAATTAAAGTGTAATTTCATGACATTTTTTTAAATAATAAAACAATTATTAAATGAATAAAAAAGGACTATTGTAAATACTTATTTTTCATGTCAATGACATCTTTTTACTGATTTAGTTTATCATTTTAAAATGACACCTTCTTTTTCCATATATCTAAACTTTAGTCATAAACTATAATTTTGGGAGGTGAAAATTTTATGGAAATATGTTTCAGTTTAATTTAACAGAACTTCAAAAGCACAGACAGAATTTAGGAAAGTTGTGTTAAAATTTCTTTTTGCTGAATGTTTCTATAAAATTTCCCAACATCAGTATCTATCAAAAAAAGAAATTCAACAATTCTGTCTGTAAAAATTGTGACAATTTGTTTTTGACAAATGGACACAAAGAAGTTGTAATTCTAATCTATGGTGACTGGAAAATCTATGAGGATTTAATTTTATTTGTCATCTAGCAAAATGTCTGTTTCCTTTTTATAGAATAACTTTTACTTTTGGAAGACAAACATTCCTTTTTTATATATAACACTTTTTCTTTTTTTTCAGGAATTCCAGTCACATATAAAGATGTGGCATCTATAGATCCTGAATATGCCAAGAATTTACAGGTAAATTTCAGGCACTATCAACATTTAAAATGATAGTTATATAGATCACATACTGCCTGAACACAAAACACAGATTATTAAAAAAATAAAAAATAAAATGACTCTGTCCAGATCTGCTTTGTCTAGAAGACAGGCCACTGCATTCACTTGTCTGACCTTGCTTTTTGTCATAGACACCAATTTGTAGTTGTGAAATTTTTGCCTTCTTACCTGCATATATTGCTTACTTGCTTGTTTGATATTTAATTTTAGGCCTTTTTCTTTTTGATACAAACTTTGCTAATTCTGTTTGTTAGACATTTCTGTTATTTATTTTGACCATGTCTACTAACTCAACAATATATATATAATTTTAATTATTTGTAATTAAAATTTATCTCTTTTTAATCGCGTTCCAACTTTCCCTCTTCATTTGTTATATTGATTGTGTCTTTGATTGTTTTCCAATTTGCCAATGTATACCTTTGGAAAAGTGTTGGTCAAAAGGTACCTTAGGTATAACATGACATCCGTTTTGTTTTTATATATATATATATATATATATATATACATGCGCACACACACACAAATTTATATTAGGCTGGTTGATTTTATGACATGTCAACCCTTGTTGGGTTACTTAACATTGAATTAATATGGGTCACCCAGTGAGGATCAAACTCACATCTCAGTAGTAATAGTCAACCAGACTATTATTTTTAACCATGTCAAGGTACCTCTAAATTTCTTTATAACATTTTTATACATAATGTATTCAGTTGTATGAATATGAGTTTGTAACCCTGGGTTTCATGCTTTTGCGATCATCAGATTACTTCAAATGTTATTTTTAATGGATATCCATATTTATATAGAGACTCCATATTTTTTAAACAGTGTTTATTTACACCACCAGCCTGCACACTTGAGAAAACTTAATAATGAAAATGTGCCTTCCAGCAGGATTCAAATCTTTGTCTCACTTTGAGAAATAGCCATCTGATAAAGAACATCTGCACAAATATGGTTATCTACTAAAAATAATGTTTGAAGTCATAAAAGTGTCCGATTAAAAAAATAAAATCTATTAATTCTTTAGAAATTGGTTTGTTTATGTTTCAGCTACAAAATTGAGCAGTTAAGGCAAATAGAAACATGCTTGACTGTGAAGTCTTCTGTGGTCAAAGCATGCTTGATCAGTTGGTGCTTTCTCTTGCAAAGGGGGATACAGGTTTAAATTCTTCTGGAGGGTACATTTTCTTTAGCAAGTTTTCATGAGTGCACAGGCCAGTAGAAAAAATAAAACACTGTTTTAAAAAAAAAAAAGAGCCTCTATTCAAATATGGGTATCCACTAAAAATCAATGTTTGAAATGATAAAAATATGTTGGACTAAAAAATAAGATGTGTTAATTTTTTATATATATATATATATATATATATATATATATACACACACACACACACACACACACACAGGGTGTGATGGGTAAACTGTTGCTATTTTATATTTTTATTTTCATGTATGCACATTGTTTTTGATTTTGTCAACTGCACAATATAGTAGGGTCAGTTGGGCACTGTCTGTGAGAAAAACATCAGCAATTCCACCAGAAATTTGGACACAGCATGCTTTACTGGTTGGCATTTGTATTGGAAGTTCCAATACAAACATTTCAAAGTGTTTGGGTGTCATTCTGAGGACAGTGCAGAGGATTCAGAAAGAGTTGGATGAATCTAATGGTGATTATGAATGTGTTTGGAGTGATCACTAGTGATGGTGACATTATGCCTCCATTCATCTTCCCACAGGGCCTCAGACTCAACACTGAGGCCTACATCAAGTGCTTTGTGGTGGTAGTGCTGCCCTGGGTCAAGAGAATGACTACTAGAAGAACCTATGTCTGGCAAGAAGACTCTCCACCATGCTACACAAGCAGGAGAAACCAGTCATGGCTGTCAGATAATTTCTGCAACCACATCACCCCTTACACCCGGCCACCTAACTCCCCAGAACTGCAAACCCCTTGATTATTATTATGTGTGGGGCACAGTTGAGCAAGAGACCAACAAAATTCCTGGTAACACCAAAGATGAACTGAAGGCAAGGATTATGGCATCATTCACCAACTTAAACAAAGAGACCATCCAGAAAAGTTGCAAGAGATTCCAAAGTTGTCTAGGGAGCATGGTTGAAAGCAACTGTGATTTTATTGAATAAATTTACTCTTTAGTATTTCAAGATATTTTTGTGTAATTTTGGTAACTATATCTGTTAAAATGAGATGTCGGTGTTATTTTTATTTTTGTGTAATTTAGATGACAATTTATCCATCGCACCCTCTGTGTGTGTGTGTGTGTATATATATATATATATATATATATATATATATATATATATATATACCTTTTCATATTGACTTATTGGATTATTGTTTTGAATGATTTCCTATTTTTCTTCTATTTCTTTCTGCTAGTGGCTCCTTGACCATGATATCAACAACCTGGGACTGGACCTGACATTCTCTGTAGAGACAGATGTGTTTGGTGTACTGCAGGAAATAGATCTCAAACCAGGGGGCAGTAAGCTGATAGTGACAAACAGTAACAAGGTAAGCAACTTTCCTCTTACATTTGAACACAGAATGCTAATCAGTACGCCAGCCAAAAATTCATAGGAAGTGTAATGTGAGTAACAGACAAGGAGACTTATTTTGCCTGTGACTATTCTACCTTAAAATAATATTTACACAAGCTTTTGAAATCACTGTTAACAATTTATTGAAATATTTTTACAGAAATCTTTTGTAAAATGGAACTGAATTCAGAAATATAATGGAAAAATGAGATGAAAAAATGAAACAAAAATCTATTTGCATCTGTTTTCTAAATCCTGCCTCACTTTCTGTTCAAGATTCAAATATTTGTTGAAGACAATATATTCAGATTGACTTGTCATAAAATGAGGCTATAAGAAAAATATATCGATTTATCAAATTTATCAGTCTCCAAAAGTGCTCTGTCTAATTGCATATACCATGGATTGATGCTAGTATGAGGTCTGCTAAATAAAATTCTTCTTGTGTGAAAAATTATTTTTCCCTCACTTGTCTCCACTGTTCAACCAATGTTAACATTAGTCTGTAAAAATTCTCTCTCACTTTGCATTATTAGTTCTGTAATTTACCATTTTAAATGTCAGTGTGACATTTAAAGGTGTGGAACAAACAGATCAGAGGTTGGAATTAAGAATAAAACATGTACCAGCCAATATTTGGAAAGAAAGTTGCAATAATTTACATAGATGCATTATAACTGAGGATTTCTGGTCTTATAGCTAAGATGTCCTGATACTGAGTAAGACTTATTTCGATGTTCTTAGAGATTATATATATTAAGACCATCCAGCACTCCCTCTGTAAGCAAAAACTTTTAGGCCTGAATATCATCAGCCTTTGATGATTTAATATGTATAACATTTTTTTTCTATTTTATTCCCTGTACACATTTTTCAGTCCTTAATAGAGTTCTGGTAAGAGATAAATGAAAACCAATATTTTGAGCATACTGGCCTTGTTGATTGTGCCAGATTATGCGCTCTCTCCCAAAAACTGTAACTCAGCATCATGATTGCAATATAAAGCACAGGTGGGTTCTGTGAGAGTTGAACAAGAACAAATATACCTGAATAGGTGTCTGTAACATGATTGGCTCACCAGCCTAGCAGATAGGTGTGCTCACATATATATTTAAGAAATATAAAAAAAAATTATGTTTAGATATCAGCTATGTTTATATATTTTTTATTATACATCAAACACTGTTCTTATAGTGTCCTTATTTGTTTTATTATACAATATGTATCCACATAAAGATATTGAATGTCAATAGATGGATAAATAGGTTTGTTGTCTGACACAGTTATTAGCTGAATTTTGATCTGGAATTTTAACTATATAATATGTGGTCAATGAAGGAGTGTTGGGTTAAATGCATTAACAAGGAAGGAGATGAATGTTGATAAATAATTTATGTAAAATAAATGTTTTTTTTTTGCAGTCATTAGACTCTAAATATATTGTACTTACATATTTAGACCATTAATATTATTTTTCAGCATGAATATGTCCAGCTGGTCACTGAATTACGAATGACCAAAGCTATCCAGCGCCAAATTGACAGCTTTCTCTCTGGCTTCCATGAATATATTCCACAATCTTTAGTTCAAATGTTTAATGAATATGATTTGGTAAGTATAATTTAAACAATAATAGCATTTTCATTCGAAGGTGATATGAAAAAGGGACGGGCAAAATTACTACTAAATCTGATTGCCTAATATTTCTGTCATTAGGTATTGAAAAAGGCATGAACTTCAATTTTCCTGTGCCTTGTTTCATTACTTAGTGTTTACCAGTAGAGATTACTGTAACCTAATTTGGATGCAAAACTTAATCCTCCAAATAGTGTGACAGCTCAGCTTGTGTGTGTGTGTATGAATGAATATATATATATATATATATATATATATATATATATATATATATATATATATATATAAATAAAAATATCAATTGGTAATTGGTAGGATAATTCCAAGTTGGACATTAATCCAAAGAAAGCTCAATGTAAGTAACAGAGTAATATAATAATAAGTAAAGACTATCCTTAAAAATCCATTTTCCTTATAATTTATTTCATGAATATATTCAAATATTCATCTCTTCAGACCAAATTTTTTTAAAAATGAAATCAATTTGTTCAGGCATGTGTGTGTGTGTGTATGTGTGTGTGCAAATATATAGAAAAATAGGAAAGAACACGTTAAGTAAATAATCCAAAGTTCTTTAGTATTTTTTTTATTTTTAAAAAGTGCTCAATACAAAAGTAGAGCCTAAATTATAATTATTATAAAGTCAAGCCTAAATTATATATATATATATATATATTTTTTTTTTTTTTTTTTTTTTTTTTTTAAGCATTTCACCCCAAGCAAGGCGGAGAGCCACTAGGACGCAAGGGGTTACAGAAAATAGGAAGATCAGATAGGAGTGATAGAAGAAAGGATGAGGGTAGTAGATAGATTAAGGCAACTGGAGATGTCGATTGACATTACACTTGAATAGCTGGAGATTATAACTCTCAGGGAAACAGGAGAAGGGAAGAGAGTTCCACAGGCGAGAGGTGCGAGACATGAAGCTATTAGGAGTAGTAGAGACGGCTACATTTATGAGTTTCGACAGTGAAGGGGTGAGAGCGGGATGCCAGCCTCGTGAGGGCGCTTGAACTCATGAAGTTTGGGAACCAGCGAATGCAGTTCCTCGGAGCAATTTCCATGAAAGTATTTGTAGAACAGACAGAGGGAGGCGACGGTGCGTCTGTGAGAAAGTGACTGTAGACGAAGACGCCAGGGTAGGGCCAACCATATTACATATCCGCCTCTGGAGCCTATCAAGAACCCCGAGGCAAACAGAAGGGGCGCCAGACCATATATGGCAGCAATACTCCATGCAAGGGCGAATTGTGGATTTGTATATCTGGAGGATCGACTCAGGGGAGAAAAACTTCCTGGCCATTACGGCTCAGGGAGCCAACTTTCCTCGCAGTGGACGAGGCAATTGACTCGATGTATTTATTCCATCTCAGGTCAGCAGTCAACGTGAGACCGAAGCCGCAGAGAGTTGCTCTCGGGAAGTTGAGCGTCAGACATTATAATGGAGGAAGGGAAGGCTCTCTGTGGTGATTAATAGAGAGCAGTTTAGTCTTCGAAGCGTTGAAGTTGACCAGCCAAATCTTGCCCCAGTTTCACAATCGATTGGAGGTCCTTTTCGAGGCGCACGGCAAGGTGAGTTTTGTCAGCGAGACTGGATTTGTTTTTGAGGCAGGAATAAATTGTGGTGTCATCCGCGTAGATGCCGACTTGAGAAGTTACTGGCGTCAGGAAGGTCATTTATATAGATAAGAATAGAGTGGGGGCCTAGGATGGAGCCTTGAGGAACTCCCTGCGTTAGTGGGGTAGGAACTGGAGGAGAATCCGTTGTGAACGACCTTCAATTCACGGTTTGACAGGAATGATTGTATTACGTTATATAATTGACCCGTAATGCCATAACCCTGGATCTTATGGAGAAGGCCGGCGTGCCAAACCCTATCAAATGCTTTGGAGATATCTAGTGCCACGGCTCGGGCTTCCCCGTTATTTTGGAGAGTTGGTAGACTGTTTCCGTGATGGCTGTGAGCACATCGGCTGTAGATCTGGCAAAGCGAAAAACCATATTGCTTGTCTGAGAGCAGATTATTGGATGTGAGGTGGTTAACCACCCCGGTATTGATTAGAGCTTCAAGATTTTGCCAAGAGGGAAGGAGACTGATAGGACGGTAGTTGGAAGGGTCAGAGGGGTCGCGGAGTTCTTGAAGACAGGAACAATCAAGAGGACTTCCAGCAGTCAGGAAAACAAGATTCCTTGAGGCAGTAGTTGTATAGTTTAGAAAGGGCGGGCGCCACTTCAGGCGCGCATTTCTTTAAGACAATGGCTGGTATCCCATCTCCACCACTAGCCTTGTTGAGATCTAAATTGAGATAACGCCCAGTACCAAGGTTGGGGTTATGTTTAACCCACTCAATATATGGCCTCAGTTCTAAGAGGAAAGTCGGGTATGGGTACACCAGAAGAGTCGAGCGTTGAGTTGATGAAAATTTCCGAGCAAAGCATTCAGCCTTGTCGGTAGAGGAGGTCAAGACTTCGAACTGGTTGAATAGAGGAGGTATAGAGGGTTTGCACTTATTCAATACACTCTTGCAGAGACGCCAATAATCTTTGGAGCCAAATTTGCGAGATGCAATACGTTCCTTCATTCGAGCAACAAATAGTGACTTAGCATCATTTAGGACACGCTTACAATCGTTACGGGCTGGCAGCAAAGAGACGTCTATTGCAGTCAGACATGTCGCTACGGTATAGGTGGAAGTAGTGGTTCCTATGGGCGATGGCGGCTGAGCAAGCAGCAAAAACCAAAGGCAGGAGCGCGTCTTAGCCCTGTATTTCCTTGATGGGATGAAAGCGTCGATTCCAGCTTTAACCCAGGAAGAGACCTCAGAAGCACATTCTTGGACGGGGAGCTTAAAGACTCCATCCCAGGGGACATCAACTTTGGAAATCACGGAACGCGTCCCCAGTCAGCTCGTTGATAATAGAACGAAGTTCTAGTGGTAGGAGGTTCTTTGGGGGAGGAGTTAAAGGAGATGTTAACCGATACTACTGCATGGTCAGAGTTACCAAGTGGGCATAGTTGGCGGGCGCTGCAGGATTCGGGGATGGAGGTAAAACACAGGTCGAGTAAGAGGCTTTACTTACCCGGTTGAGGGCAAAACGAGTGGGGAAGTTAACTATCTGTGTGAGGGAATGGGAGATTGAAAAATTAAGCGTTTGAATGCCTGCATGGTCAGTAGTAGCATTCTTAAGCCACAGAGTGTGATGGGCGTTAAAGTCTCCAAACACAAAAATGTGAGCAAACGGGTGGAGGGAGAGAGCCTTGTCTATGTTGTCTGAAATGCTATCAAGTATCTCACAGTCTTGAGAGGATGGAGAGCGGTAAAGGAAGAAGAGATAGCTTACCGCATTGAGGAGAGAGAGACGGAGACACATGTATGACTGGTCAGGCGATTCAAGAGAGGACTCTCTGGCCAGGGGAGATGTTCCTGACGAGACACCAAGACCGTGCATGTGGGTTAGAGAGTCTTTTCTGAGGAGAGGAAGATAGCCGGGGATCGAGAGATCAGAAGAGGGGGGATAGATGAGACAAGGTTTGTCTAGTCGACAGAGAGCCAGTATATCCGGGCCGTTTGCAGTGAGGAAAGATTCCAGACTGTAGAAGTTTGTTCTAATGCCCCGGATGTTGGAGAATGAAATGTTGAGGGGTTTAGGTGGTTTCTGAGATGCTGGTTTAGGGTAAATCTTTCGGTTTTTGTAACTCATGTTGGTTTATTTGCAAAGATGAGAAGGCCTGAGGTAAGAGAAAACAGACAGTTTCAAACCGTGGACGCGGGCAGAGAGGAGTTGGCAAAATCCGCATCATTATGTGGCCTCAGGGCTGCCCACGGAGGTGACTGCAGGGACACCTTTCCACGCGCGACATGGCACTACAAACACCCCGGTATTATACAACTGTTGATCAGAGCAGCCGCTCAAGACGCTACGCAAGAGTTAGGGCTCCTAACTACCAGTCGGAAACAGCAACCAGAGAACTGTCAGCCCCCTGTACCCTCAGAATGAAGAGATGTTGCCACAGACTGCACGCATCACGGGAGAAACAGACCTGCACTAATACAGAGGCCGAGAGAGAAGACAGTACCAGGAACCCCATCCTAGACAAGAAACAAGGTGTAAGCCTCTACTCATGTCCAATAGAAGGGGGAGGAGTGTTGACCGGGCGGTAGAAGGGACTACCTACTCCCTATTACAGATAACACAAAAAAAAGGACGACACAAAAAACAGAGGGAAGGATTGGAGGGGGAGATAACAGGTAAGGAGTCCTGGTTCACAAATGGCTATACTTTATCACATTAAGTTTTAACTTAGTATAAGTCCCATTGTCTATTCTAAAAAAAATTGAAAATACGGTTACCCGGTTTATTATCACATCCAGTAGAAGACATTCAATTTTCCATTTTTCTAGTTTTTACTTTGTTAACATTTCGGATCGGATTCCTTACTAAATTATCAAATAAGTAGGGAGGGAGGGAGGGAGGGGGAAAAAAAAAAAAAAAAATTTAAAAAACGGAAAAAAAAAAAAAAAAAAAAAATGAAAAATGTAAATGCAGTCAGCTAGAGCGAAACGATACTCACATGGGCCAACAAGTGGGTAACTGCCTGCGTCGTCATGATGATGATGACTGAATATAAAAACATTTCTGTTCAATTTGGCTGCCATGTTGGATATTTGTAATTATTCTGATGTTGCTTTTGATAATTACTAAAATGGATACTAGTTTAAAAGAGATTCAGTTGAAACTTTTTGCCACAAACTCATCATATTTTCAAATGTAAATGTAATAGTCCCTATGAACCAAAACTCAAGAGTAGCAGATAGCTTTCCTTGAATTTATTGGAAAACAAGTCAAATTCTAATGAATACTTTTTTGTTCATTCTGATGTAAACATGTATGTGCAAGTGGTGTAATGAATTAATGGATAGTGGCTTGGAATGGGAAATCAGAGAACCGAGTTTGAATTCCAGTTGGGTTCATTGCATTTACTTATACACAAATGCTATTAGGAAATGTATGAATCCATCTTCTTCTCCCAGCTACGGGTAAAATAGTAGGTTGTGTATATGGAAAAATCATTATTCTCAAAAAAATTGTTAATGCAAATTTTTGCTCACAAAAAAAATAAACAGAATTATTGTTACAATCCAAAATATGTTTCAGCTTTAAATAATCCACAGAAAGGGTTGATAAGGTATAAAAAATAAATCAGTTCTGATGAGAACTCTTCTTTCTCTTTCTTAACTTTAAAAATTGGTTACACTAGTTATTCCATTTATATGAATAAAATAATCAATCTTTATAGCAGTGGCTATTTCTTGCTATAACTGTTTAACTTTTAAATATTACAGGAAAGCTATTTGTCTAATTATTGACAGTATTGTAAATAATTCTTACATTTAAAAAAAATGTATAATTGATCAAAATTCAATTTAATACTAAACCACATAAAAATTATCTACACCTTATAAAATATCATTTTTCCAACTCTAAACATAATAGAGAATAGTGAATATTACTGTTTTTTGGGAGCAACTACAAGTAACACTACTTTTATATATGCATATAGGAGGAGGAGGAGGTCAACCGTAGTTGAGATCATCAACTCAGTGTGAATTCCATAAAACTTTCCTTTAGCTGCATAGTATGTGCTTCACCAGGGCTATATATGGTTTTGAATTCAGAGTTGTCCTTCTCTTAAACTGGTTGCCAACCAAGGATACAGAACTCAGATTGCCCCACAATTTACTCATAGTTGGAGGTTTTGATATCAGAGTTTTTCTTCTGCTAGACCAGTTACCACTAGGGTAAGATTCTCTTTTAGGCTCGTATAGGCTGTAGCCTAAGGCCCCTCAAACTTTTATAAAGCAAGGATTTAATTTTCTAGATGTTATAACTTCTAAATAGTTTTATAAACTGAAATGATATCAATATGGCAAACTCATATTTATTTGGCTTTTCAGGAAGCAAAGAAAAGAATGTTTTAGTTTGTGTTATTGTGTTTCAAATAGATACCATGTTTGATTTTATTACAGAATGTTTAAATCTTAGAAATGTTTATAAAGTGGTGATTTTAATGTTGTAGATGTTATAACTTCTAAATAGTTTTCACCATATGATAAACTCATTTATTTTGATCATTTTATTGTTGGTTATAAAAAATCTGTTTTTTTACTACTGTTGTGTTGAAATCTTTGCTAATTTGGTTTGCAAAATAGTGGTATATTTAAAAAATATTTTTTTATTGACAAACTGTTCTCGTTTATTTAAAGAATTTGCAATAAGTTTATTTATAGTTATGTAAATATCACTAAAATATATCATGAATAAAAAATATTCAAGATGGGTGTAGGAAAGTTAGAGGGTGTCGCCACCTGGGGGCGGGCATATTTTCAATAGCCTAGGGCCCTCAAAAGGTCATAATCAGGTTCTGTTTGCCAGACAATGTTATAGGAGGCAGCCTGTCCCACTATTTATCCATAGCTGGGGGGAGAAGAAATGAATTCATACCTTTCCCAAGGGTCTTTGTACATAAATGAATGTAACGAACTTGACTGGAATTAAAACTCTGTCCTCTGCTCAATCCTAGTCACTATCCATTACTCCACCATGCTTCTATAAATATATGTATATGTATATAATTCTCAAAAAATTTTAACTTTGACATGGTCTGAGCAGCTGTGTTTACTACAAGTTTGAAAAATTTAAGAATGTTAGAAAGAAATTTCTGGTAAATATTTATTTTGCAGTAAGGTGCCATTTTAATACTGAGGTAGTTGGGGGAATTTTTTTTTTTTTTTTTTAAAGTTTTTTTTTTGATCTGTGGAATATTTTCTTCCTTTCTTTTAATCATAGATAATCCTCTTCTAAACATATCCTTTTTTATATCCCTCTTAATACAATAAAATTTTTCTATCTTGCATCAATTTTATATGTTTGTTCAGGAATTAATGCTGTCTGGCCTGCCTACCATTGACTTGGAAGACTGGAAAACCCATACAGAGTACAGCAGCTACATGGATACATCTCCTGTCATTGAGGCACGTTTTACTTTACAGGATTCCTCTTTTTTTTGCTCATCTATTCTACATTACTTCTAATCAATAGATTCACATATTTCAGTAATTTCTTTTTCCTCTCTCTCTTAATGATTTCATGTCTTTCCTCTTGTAATATTTCCATATTCCATTAAAAGAACAATATTATAAAATGTTAAAACTTATTTTTGTGTTTAACTTTAATTTTGATCTCTATAGTTATTTCATATTGAAAAGGTTTATGATGACAAATTAAACATTAATTGTATTCCTTCATATCGAAAAAGTTTATGATGACATTAGACATGAATTGTATTCCTTCATATCGAAAAAGTTTATGATGATATATTAAACATGAATTGTATTACTTCCTATCGAAAAGGTTTATGATGACAAATTAAACATGAATTGTATTACTTCATATCAAAAAGGTTTATGACAAATTAAACAAGAATTGTATTTCTTCATACTGAAAGGGTTTATGATGACATATTAAACATGAATTGTATTACTCCATATTGAAAAGATTTATGATGACAAATTAAATATGAATATACTATTTCATATCGAAAAGTGAATATTAATGATGGTAGTTTGCTGAGGACAAAATGAAAACTTGGACATTACGTAATTAACCTCACTTGATGCTTAACAAGTAGTAAAAATGTTAGTTAACATCATTTGGTATTAAACATTTTAAGCTTAAGAACATTCATGACTATAAATTATCATTTTTAATTCTTTTCTTGAAACACATTTTTCAAGTTCTTCTTTGTCTCTTTCATTTGCAGTGGTTTTGGGATGTTGTGAGTGAAATGACCTCGCCAGAACGTGTCTTGCTTTTACAGTTTGTCACCGGAAGGTAAGCACCAAAATTTTTCAACATGAATTTGTGACATTATGACATTGTGTTTGTAAGAAGCAACAATGGTTAGGTAATTTGTACAAATATATGAATATACTGAGAAAATATATTAATGTTATATTATTTTAATTTAACTCTGAATAGGATTTAACATTTAAAAAGTCACTACTTTTAATATACTTTTCACCCTAAAATGAAAGGAGTGATGCTCAGTTTGAAATGCCCAAATCAATATAACTGGCAAATATTTAAAGCTCTCAATTAACTACTGAATCTCGTCAAGCATTTATACACTGAATTGTGCCTTTACTATAGAAAATATACCTTTTGCTGATTTCATTTTCAAATAATTTTAATAATTTACTAGGTGACTGTAATTATCATTAGTTGCATGTAGTGACAATAGGGTTGAAATAGTAAAAGAATTGTCTGTGTTTAGCATGAGTAATGTTAGCATTATTATAAATACCTTTTTATCTATTCTTTGCTTGTATAACTGAGAGACTTGATTGAAAACATGAAATGATTTCATCTTTCTCTTTCCAGCTCAAGGGTCCCTTATGGTGGATTTGCCAACTTGAATGGCGTTGGTTCCACTCAAAAGTTTTCCATTAGTCATGTAAAATACAGTCCGCAAGCTCTGCCCACTGCCAGTACATGGTAAGCTTGTCTTATTTAAAAATAAAAAAATATATATATGAAGCTCATTATAAAAAATGTATTTGTATCAATTACGATTTGCATTATTAGATTGTTTTTTTTTTAATTTTGAAATCTTAAAACCTTTGTAAAGAATGCTTTTGCATATATAAATGTCTAGTTGCTGTTGACTCAATTGACATTTAACATGGTTTGATTATCTAATTTAATTTTGTATGTCACTAGATTACAACTATCATTTAATAGGAAGAGTTTTGATTTGACTGAATTTTGACTTTTATTTCCATCAATCACATAAATTGAAAAATTCAGCCATGATTTATGCAAGATGTCATGGTTTATATTTAGCAAAATTGTAAAATTTGATTGTTTTAAATATTTCAGTATGTTTTGATTCATAATGAAAATTGATTCATAAATATTAATAATAATAATTGATATTTAATTATGCAACTGGAAACTTGTTTCCAGTATGAATAAAAAGGAAAACTCACAGAATCCCCAAAAATAAAATCAATAATAATATGTGCATTTTATAATATTCTAGAAAAAGTAAAATTAATTTTTTTTTTATCTCTTTCAGTATAAACCTGTTCAAGCTTCCAGAGTATCCAACGAGAGAAGAGTTGAAAGATCGACTTTTAGTAGCAATCCACTGTGGCAGCCAAGGATATGGTGTGGCATAGAGCTTAAACATTTGCTTAAATATAACATTTTCCTATCTAAATACCTACATAATTGGCTTCTTATTTACCTCAAATCCTTGCAGAAAATCTGGAATATTTTATCTTGAAAAAATAATCACCTATTTTCATATATTTTAAACAGAGACAGTGTTTGTTAAAATACACCTAGATGTATACCTCAAAAATAAATATAATTTTGTGGTCTAATTTTAGATGATATATTCTAAATATTTGTGTGCATAGATTATAATATATCATTCCAGTCTCTTAGAAATTGACATGACAACCATTTGCATATTATATTTATATATATAATTATATGAAATGCAAAAATAATTTTTAAAGTCTCTTAGAATGCTTTCTATTCAAAATATTGACTCATTAGATATATATATATATATGTATGTATGTATGTATATATATATACTGCTAAAACATAAATATGAAGATATGTTAGTTGAACTAAAACAAATATATAATTTCTTAGTTTTATTGTGTATCAATTTGTGTATTTTTAGTTTAATTTTATATATATATATATATATATATATATATATATATATATATATATATATATATATATATTGTCAAAAATAAACCTGAGGTACTTAATCAATGTCTGGGAAAATTAACTTTTTTTTCAGCTCTCATATATTGTTTAATCTGATTGTAAACATAAAATAGACATTTAGACATATCAGGAGTTCATCCTGGGTTGCACTTGCAATGATGATATCTTCAATGAATGCAGTAGCTCCTATTAACAGGGCATCCATTGTTTGCTGGGATATGGCTGGTGCTGTTTTGACACCAAAAGAAAGACAGTTGTATGTAAATAAACCCTTGTGGATTGTAAGGATCTCTTTGGAGTCCTTAACTTCCATTTGTAGGAAAGCATGTGAAAAGTCAATTTTAGCAAGTTCCACCATTTAACTTTGTAAGGTCTTCTGGTATTGATTATAGATGTGCATTTAAAGAAAAATAATTGGCATATATACAGACATTTCCATCTGCATTCTTGACAATGACAATGGGAGTAGTCAACATAGAGTAATTTGTTGGCTGGATTAATCTGAATTGTTGAAGGTAATCTAATTCTTTTTCTATTATGTCAAGAGCAGCATAAAGAACAGGGTGTTTTGGTCCAAAGGCTGGCTAAACATCTGGTTTTAGCTTTAGGGTGGCTTTGACCTTCATGCAGCACCCAAGGTTCTCTTGAAAAACACCACTGAAATTAGTTGTGTGTGTGTGAAGGAATTTCTTAGTGTTGGAAACCAAGGAAAATATGTTAAAAATGGAATTGAGCAGAACAGTGAAGAAATTGAGCTCATCTATCCAGTCTAAACCAATTAAATTCAGATTAGAGTCCAAAATATAACATTTAACAGAAAAGTGTTTTTCAAGAAAAGAAACTGTGCAATTTAACTAACCAGTGAGTAGAATCTTGTTACCACATGCACTCTGGGCAAGGTGATTTGTTTTCAACAACTTTGGCTTGCCAATTTGTTCCAACATGGATCAATGAGACCAAAGTGATATCTGAAACTGTCAAATTGGAAACACATTGGAACATTGTTAACAGAAACTAATATATTTTCTGTGGGATTTGAAGTCAACTTTGAATGTTACAGACACACAATTTGATTTTGACCATTTTCGATGCAGCTTTTTCCCCAAACTGAATTTGAAACTTGTTTTTGAATTTGATTTGAATGTTTGCCTTCTGAGGGATGACAAAAATTTTCCTTCTTTGTAGTGCAATTCAACACATGACCAACATGCAGCAATAGAAATTTTTCTTGGAGTGTTTGATGGTTTATTCTTTGCTTGAACGCTTCTGGTTGTAGACAAATTTGAAAGTGATGGCTGTTATTGAATTCTCATGTTGTCTTTTTGAAGGTTCATAAGCCTCTGGCATTCAGTTGTAAGAGCTTTTACTGTGATGTCTTTATCCTGTACCAATTTGGATAATAACCTAGTCATGTGTGCACATCACAAGTGTCTAGAGATTGAAGGCCAGCAATGAAGATGAGACATTTAAATTGATCTTCAGTAGGCACTGCAACAGACTTTCTAAAAAAAAAAAAACATGAAAATAATTTAAATGCTTTCTTTGAATCTAAATTTCAGTTTCATTTGAAAGATAATGGCTTCATGCTAATTAATTAAAGGAAAAATTTACATATATAAACCAACCTTTTAGGCATTTTTAAAGCATTAATACTTTTTGTCATTCATTGACTCATTGAGCCACCATTGTAATATAAAAAATGTAAACAACAAATTTAAAATACTTTTTAAAATCTGATATTTATCCGAGAGATGTGTTTCAAAGTCTGTTAGTAAATTTAAGGATTAATTAACTGGATTTTCTGAAAGAATGAAAATTTACATACAGTAGTAGCCTGTGAGGTCAAAAGACAAAATAGAAATACTGTAATGCCTGTCCAAAACAGTGCAAGCAAAAGTAAAAAAAAAAAATCAAACCTAAAGAAGTATGGAAGGCTAGCAGTGAAATAATCAGGAAATTGTTATTTATGTTTAAAACTAAATTTTCTTCAATCTTATATAACCAATAGTTTAATTATTAAACTTTAATATGAATTTGAAGGCATTAAAGTGCTACCTAAAAAAAAAATATAGCATAAATGTAATTTGTGTTAAATTTAAATTAATGTGAAAGGAAATGCATTTATTCTACAAATAAATTTTAGAAAAATGACAGTAAAGTATTCTTTTTTATAAGAATGAAATAGTTTTGTCCTAATTCTGAACATTTTCTTGGTGATGAAGGGTCAAATTGTACAGGAAAAATAAGTCAATGATTTGTTTTTAAAATAATAAAAACTTAGAATAACAACTTATGTTTAATTACTGAAGTAAGTACTGGTCATTCTTGTATACAAGAATTAGTAAAATAAATGCAGAAAAACAGACACACAAAACAAAAAACCAAACACACAACATTAGATCAGAAAACGGTGCTTTCAAGGCAAAAGCTGACTGAATGAGAGATATGAAATTAGATTAATAATACTCATGTATTGATTAGTAGTAAGTCAAAGCAAGATTTCAGAGTTATGTCCTTTTTGTACATCCATACGAAAAATAATCTAACAGTTGCTAAAGGGAAAAAATAAAATAAATTTCTTTTAAAAATGGTTCATACTAGAAAATGGCATTAAACCTTACATTTTTATGAATATTCAAACTCAAACATGTATTTATTTTAAAAAAAAAATTGTGACACAGCAATAGGATGAATTTCAAAATTGCACTGAAAAATTAAATGTCATTTTTTTAAAATAAATAAGTGCCATAAGTGTATTGTAGATGGTAGATATTTTTTTTATTTCTGTCCAGTTTGAAAGAAAATCACTCATTTTATTAAATTATGCAAGCACCAATTCTAAAAAAAATTTTTAGTTTTTTTTAATTATTTTTGTTAAAATGCAAGCTCAATTTTCTGTATGTTCACCTTTGATATTACATAATTTTTTATTTAAAGAATATCTTTTTCTTTAATAAAATTGAGAAAAAAAAATTGGACGACCCCCCCCCCCAAATTACAGGTATACATGCGATATCGATATGGGGTTTGAAACACTCCCAAAAATTATTTTCCCAAAGCTAAGATATAGCTTATTTTTTTGCCAAAATGAAAAAAAATATTGTTTTTGTACATTCAAAATTTGCTTGTTGCCACATCTGTTAACTTATGATGACTGAGTCGCCACATTTTTCAGAAAGCCCAGATGAACTCTCTGACCATGGAAATGGAAATTCCAAAATCAATAAGGGATACAACTTCCATCTATCTATATAATATATATATTTAATGAAGACTAGGATTTATCTGTCAAGTTGTCTTAGTATGACTCTTTCCTGAAAGTGCTCATAAACCCAGTCAGAGAAGACATCTTGATCTTTAGCAATGTACTGGATGTAACTGACAACCAAAGGTTCGATGATGATCTTATGCCTGACATTAGCATTGGTAAACCCTTCATAGTTCAAAACCAAATGAACTCTCATGCAGTATAATATCATTTGTTCACATTACATGATTGAGCTGGGACTTTGATAGTTATTATCCCTCTGGAACATGGGTGACACTTGCAAGCTCAAGACATTCCTCATTTGCTATCTTCTTTGATGGTGATCTCCAGAGGAAATCTTGGATATTCAGCTTGAGCATCCTTTATCATGGAAAAAGGTTGTCATGCTGACAAATTGAGCTTGGTGTCACAATGGTTTACAATCAGACGTGCTCAGGAGGTATTTGATATCAGAGATTCTCAACACCATCTTTGCATTTCTCCTTAGTCCAAGCTATCTGACTTCTGAACCAAAACTATGGGTCATAGTTGGTTGAGAAATATCTCTTTCAGCTAACCCAACACATGCTGCATTCTACCCATAAACTACCTTGAGCCTTCAATCAATGCAAATGCTCTTTGAGTAACAGAGTTTACACATGTAAGTACACAATGCTAGGCTGGCCAACATGGCAACATGCAGGAATTCTGTGGCCAAATAGACAGAATATTAAAATATCCACGAGCACACCAGCAGTATTTCATATATCTGCATGAACCACCGGGCCCAGGTGACAATCATTGTGAACCAAGTAGGATCCATGACACTGCCTGATTGAATCGGATTGCCTAGTAACCTCCCTGCAGTGGTACTGCTTAGAACTGCTATGGTAAAACCTAAGATGGCTTGCAATAAGTAGAGTAAGTCTAATTTTTAATGGAGTTTTCCGTCCAAAATCTTTTATGACCATGTCACCTTGTTTTTTGAGACATAACTACCATTTAATTATTTTTTTTACACTACACTATTTACATTATTTGAACTATTGTCTGCATCTTTCTTGCCATATTTATTACAACGTTTTGGTCGTTGTATGCTCTGGGCTTCATCAGGTGGTTGGAATGTCAAACTGAACCCTTTATTTCACTCACTGGGGTAGACTATTCTAGTGCCATGATTAA